TTAGTTCTTAAACTTAATATTTTACTGTCTAAAAATTGTGTGTGATACATAAAATCAATAATTTTTAATTTCATGCTGCGATTTTGCAGTTTGCATTTAAAGCGAAGAAATTATATTGTAAAATGGGGTTTAACAATTTATCAAAATTAAAAATTGAACAGATCTGATATAATCTTATTTTTATTGTTTTTTTTTTATAGTAACCAAATTGGTGAAGTAATTTATTATTATTTTTTTGATAAATAAAATGTTTAGTATTATTTTATTGTCATACAAATTAGAACGATAAAATTCCCCAAGTGATAGTTTATAATTAGTTAGGAATTGACTTGAAAACTGAGTTTTCAAAATGGTTTAAAACTTTATTATTTATTTAAAAAAATAAATCGGCCCACAGAAAAAAAGTTATCGTATCTTCAGACACAAAAAAAAAGTATTATAAATACAAAACTAATACCTTCTTAACTATCGCGTCGAAGTAAAAATTATAATTGATAGGTTAACAATTAGCTTACTCAGAGTCTACAATTGTTAGATCTCTACAGTAAAAGCATTGTGTACGGTTATATTTAAAATGTACAATAATTAAAAGTTGCATATTTATTTTGTATCGTATAATTTATTATAATTAATTTAACTGTTAATTATTATATTATTGTTCTCGGCTTCAATTAAATTTCACGCAAACCGCTCGTATAATCTGTTATTTTGATCTTAATAATTCCAATAAACATTATGCAAACAAAAGTGCTGTCGGACGTCCCCCTTTGTGTGAACACACACACACACACACACAACCACACGTCGTGTAGTGCCGAACGATATGAAATCTCCGACAGTAATAATATCGTAAAGCTACCTCGGTCGACCTTTAATGCGCATTATAATACGGTATACGACGGTCTAATGAGAGCTGTATAGGCAAGTCGCTATTTGCCCTTCTCATATAATATTCAGTAGCGAATGGCTACGGGTCCGTTTGAATGGACAACGACCTCCATATACCGGCAAACGAATACAATATCTACGCCCATGTACCCCCTCGTGACCCTTTGGCTGACCACCGCCTCGCGGATCGATATGCACGACCGTTATATTATATTTTGACTACCGTCGCCGCCGGTAGTTTGACCGAGCCACTAATGCGGCTTTTAAATCAACAGATTTCTATCTGTTTTATTTTTCAGCTTAACTCATTTGGGAGTAAAACAGAAATGGATGATTTTGATCAATTTAGCGTACTGTAAAATATGTAACACATAATGGACGTTTGTTGTGCTAATATCAGATAACGGCTATCCGATTCGGACGAACACGCCAACCGTGTTCCGTTGAATATATAATAATATATTATACAGCGCATACTATATTATACCTACGGTTCGTCAAAAAAAATATCTTCGAAGAACTTCGTAGAGTTGATCGTGTCCAATATAGGTACGCAATCTACATTCGATCTTTATTCGGCTATGCTATTCCGCCGTATAGAAATTATAATATTAGCAGTTGCCCAATGAATATATATATATATAAATATTATAATAACGTGATATCGGTATCATTATTCTGGCACAGTTCGACGAAATCTAATGGTATATAAATGTCTAAGTATAAAATACTGTGATCGGTACGTAAAAAATCTAAAACCAAATTAAAACGGATCGAAAAAAACATTTTCAAACCCTAAAACCGATCCCCGAAAAACTTATAAACCGTTTCTCTACCTAACCGTTTTCACTCTTTACCTCTACTGGTATAGGAATTACATCCTATACCAGTTTATCGTGTTTATAATTGTACTCACAATGACTCGTATTATTTGTAAAATTCAGTTTTTTGTTGTAGGTATTCAAAACAATGTTTTTGAAATTTCATATAAATGTTTATTTATTTAATGCAAAGTTATACTAAAAAAATTAATGTCCATATGAAAGACAAGAAAATATTATTGTTTACCTCATGTAAAATGTATTTAAATATGTAAAATAATTACTAACAAAAATTAAAAACTACACTGCAAAATAGTGTTGTCACCGATGCAACCAAACTCCTTTTAATGAAACAAAGAAAATGTTTCGTTTAAAAATGTAGTAGAGTATACAATTATAAATTAAGACTTATGAAAAGTCACTTATTCAACTTTTAGGACTGGCTTTTAGCTTTTTTTAGCTAGTCGAACTGGAAGCAGGACTGAGAAATCGTTTGTTTCAATTGGATTCTACGTAAACCAAACACATAGATTTTACACAGTAAGTTCAGTTACTGGGTGCATAATATAAGTGTTATATAAATTAAATTCATAATATGTAAGAAGCTGTAAATATTTTTTTTTAACTTTGATTGGTTGGTTTTACAATAATAATAAACTTTTTTTTTTCTAGACCTACGATAACTCCGTGGTCCGATTTTTTCATGTAACAAGACTATATAAAGCAAAACACAAAGAAACGTAAAAAATACAAAAACTGGACAAATTCCCTCTTTCTTTTAAAAAATGAAAAAAACCTTCTAACAATATTTTTCTACGTACAAAACAGCATGCTATAATTTTCCTAAAGATTCATGTCGAAGCGTTTTTTGAGAGCAATAACAATAATCTTACAAACAGTTTAAATTATTTCCCTGTAATTCACCTACCTCACATGTTCTGTTACCACAATGCCTCGACTTTACTTGATGGCTTTGTTTAATACGTTTATGCGTTAGTATAAAACCATTTGTGTAAATTTGTTCATAAATTTAATGACTCGTAAAAAATGAATAGACCAATCCCAGTCCATTAAGTCATGTTTAAGGCTCAATACATAGGTTCATTGTACTATTAATGAACGACGTTCTTGTGATTCGATATTCGAGTATAAGTTAAAATAATTAAATAATTTCCAAGTGGCAGTGCGTAATAATAATAATAATATTACTTGTAAATAAAATAATCTAAAAACATAAAGCTATGTTTGATATCTATCTATCTATCTATTTAGTTTCCAGAATTTATCTGTTTAGATCAATTGTATTTAGTAATTACTAATTTGTATACAGAGTTGTTACATCGCTTTAACATTTTAAACACAGTTTTATTTTTTTTTTTTTACTGCTAAAACGAAATTTGTGCAATTATAAAAAAATGTTTACTATTAACGTTCTAAAGTATTCTAAATTTTGTTTTTTTTTTGTTTAATAGATTAATTGTTTTATAACAGGGACTGGGTAAGTACATACCTATCTGTGATATATTCGTACATAGAATTAATTTTTCTTTCTCGCAGTTACAATAGTAATTATCACATTATATTTTACGTTTATACATACACAAAGCATAAACTGAGTTAAAAAAAAATGTATACCTCAATTTAAATTTAGCAATTTTTTTCAATATACCTGTACAACATATTAATAATAGCTAAACGTACGTTTAAAATTTACAAATAAACTAGACGTGTTGCACAAAGTCTAAGGTCGAAATCGGATAAAACAAGACAAATCTTATAAAAACTAACGAATTTTGGAGATAGTTGCAAAAATCAACCTTATTGTATACAATAAGGTTGACTTTTGCGGTAACACTATAGTGTTACTGCGGATTAAATAAAAACTTATAGAGACCGAGATTGTTATCTGGATTTTGAAATGAAACAGAGGCTCATCACTGATTCAGTCAATACCGGTAACAAGTAGATTCACCCAGGGTTGTTCAAATTTGAATTGTTTTTTCGAACGAGAATAAAACATAGGTACCTAGTTATAAGCAAACAATTTTTGAAAATCGATTAACAGATATATATATATACACATATATATATAATTAAATACATATTGTATAAGTGTAAAAGTTCATATAATGTAATTTACAAATGATACTTGGTTTAGTGTTGAGTGTACAACATGTTTTTATTAAAAACGAGCAGCCAAGCCAGTGTCTAAAAAAATTGCTATCTATATGATGGATTTTTTTATTTTTTTTTAAGCGGACTAAGATGATTTTCAAAAGCTATTTATTTATCATCAATTCCGATACAAGCATTAGTTTATGCTTTTAGAAAACACCCACCTGACAAGTCCTTGTCGCAAATATCGCGCGCGTAAAATGTCACTGTATTTTTTACTATAAACCACCTGTATAGGGAAATTCAATTTTAAAAATAGTTTTTGTCAAGAAACTCAATCTTATGCAACATTTTAGTAATTATATCAAATATGTTGTCTAAATATTTTATGGAAAATATTATTATAAGTTTAACATTGTTTGACGTTCTTAGAATAATTCATGTCTAATAATTAAATGTATTATATTGAGGAAACATTATTGTTAAATTCGGGGTGCTAGTTTTGTATTACCAACCAAAACGCGGAGTAATTACTTATTGACAATATTAAAAATTTGAAGAGATTAGCAAAAAGTGAGTTGCGTACAAATGTTATTCAACTCGACGAAATAAAAAGTTGAAATATGCTATAAGTTCGAGAGCATAAACGAATTTTACAAAAAGGATAAAATACTTGTGATTTTAAAACTTGTACTAAACAAACATTTATTTTGATGGTTCTACCATACTAATATAACAAAAGAAACAAAGCACGGTATAAACTATAAACCATTTCAGTAAAAAAATTAGCAAAAGTTGCGTCAAGATGCGAATTTTCGGAAACGGCACAGTTTGAAGTTTGCTAATCACTCATTCGCTTTGAAGCGTTTCCATTGCATTGCAAGATTTTGTACAATAAAAAAATGTCAATACTACACCCATTTCTTCTGCGTGAAAGTAGATATGTGTTATTTTTACACTATATTTAACAACCTATTATTGAAACATTTCATCAACTTAATGCCAGTTTGTTGATAATAACTTTCATGAATTTAATTAAAAATATATTGTTTTAATTTAAAAAAAAAAAAAAAGAACTAACGTTTATAAAATGTTATTGCTTAAATATTTTTTTTTTACCATTTTATCACTAATAAGTATTAGTATGAATACGTAATATTAAAATAATATACTCACGGAAGTTAATCATTTAATTCACACCTCGGATGTGCCGTACGAGTTGCTCGCTCGCTAAGTATAGGACGATCGGTCTTCTATGAGTCGGCGCGGTGGTAGTCGTACATGGTTTGTTGTGTGTATTGAACAAAAAATTCCAAAATATTTTGACTGCTGTGCGGTGCCGTTGGTTTTTCGAGAATGAATAAAGAAACGTGCCGGCCAGCGATTCAAACACAATTTTGTCCGTTATAACAATACAATAGTTGTTATTATGCGCCAACCCTGCAAAATGTTACACAGCAGAACAGCCGCACGCGACCTCCGGTAGTTATGTGTGCTGCTTTCTGGGTTTAGCGGCCCGGAACAGGGCTCGCACCACCCCCACCAAGGCGCCAAACGCATGTGGTCTTTCAACCCTTTGCCGCCCCCAGACTGTATTCGATACTCGAGCGGCCTGCGACGATACATTATATATGTACATCGACCACTTATACAACATATTATACCGGCAGGCTTTGTCTTTTAAGAAGAAAATAGGACACTAATAATAATTGTGCGTTGGGCAATTCAAAATGTGCACTTCACTTCACGGCTATGCGTAGGTACATAAAATATAAGGAAAACCGAATTTTAATTTTTGCCCGGATGAGTCCATACTTTCATAACGCTAAACTTGTGAATCTCTGGGAAGAGATTTGCGATACTAAAAAAACCATAAAACTTGAAGTTTAGTGCTTTTCAAAATACATACACGCGTATTTTTTTAACGAGAAATTTGTTGAACATGATCAATTTGACAACCCTAAATAAAAATTACAATTTTATATTAAAAAAAAATTCGACCTTTTTTAAAACAAGAACTTTTATTTTTTCGTTGAATAACACCATTCGCATCCAAAGTTGTAAAATACACCGTTTTGAGTTAGAAAAACATTTTGCATTACAATCCGTATAATTTATAGATAGATCAGGCTAGCAAAATTAGTGATTAACCTCAGTTTTGTATTTAAAATATTGTCGTTTTTCTAACTTGGTAGTACGTTGTGTAGTATGGATCAAAATAATAAACATACCTTAATCAATAAAAGATAAATTTAATGAGTCATTAAAATTTGACGGACAAATCACTGGTTTATTAATTAAATAATATAATATAATATGAATTTAATATATTACAGCTGACAGCTACAGTGGTAAAACTGTTGGGTATGAAATCCAAAAAATGAAGCGTTAAATCAAAATATTTCTGTATGCATTATATCTAATATTTTTATTTTTTATAGAGGCTTTTGGACAGCCTGATTTTTTATTAAAAATTAGAATTTAGGAAATGGTCTTACGTCCCTAACATAAAGTGATCTATTTCCAAAATATTTTTTATTTAATAGTGAAAAAGGTACAGAGTGGATTCGGTTTTAATATTCAAGTTTCTGAACGGTGTAATAAGACTACATATTTTACTGACCAATTTTTGAAAATTTGTTAAATCGGTTTTTTCGTCCCAGGCGCTTTGTAGAAAGTTTTTCTCTGTTATTGAAAATATAATCCTAAGATATAGTGCCTACGTAGCAATTTTATACATTAAAACAATGCTGTTTTACTTTTTACCAATATATTGTAAAAATAGTTACGTTTACAACACATTTTGGCAGGAAATAAAAAATTGTAGTATTACACAATACTTTTTCTTAAAAATGATACATGAATTATTTTCAAACCCTTAAATAAATATTACCATTCTAGTATTTCCCACCAAACCTAAATAAAAAGTTGAAAAATAGTAATATTTTTAAATTATTGCTGCGGATGGAGGAATTAACTATTTTCTAGTGCCGTCACAGTCCCGATGTTGGATTCGCATTAATCGGCGACAAAAATGTATTAAAAAATCACTCGCACCAATTATACAACATTGTAAAGGGGTGCCTTGTAAATACCCGGGGTTACATTTTTTACATTGTTTACCTACATGCACTTTATAAACCCTTCAGTATATTTTTAGGCACCTCATATGTTATAATTTTAATTGCGGACAACCGAATAATATGATCGTTTCGGATCAGCTGTGCAGGTTTCCCGCTTAAATATTAAACGACCATTTTCGGTTCCAGGTGTATATCTAGGTATTGTGTATAAGCATAGGCAACATTTTCGTCCGGCGAATTCAAAAAAAAAAAATAATAATAATAATATCACCTGGCGGCTGGCACCCGCCGTTACGCAGCATTGGTGTTTAGCCGACCATTACGAAACCTTAATTACACACGTCTGACAATTGTTTTTTTTTTTTTCCAATTTTCTCCGCCGGTGTTTATTTTTTCAAAAAATAAATTATACCTACCCTTGTAAAGTACAAGTGCTGGGCACGGTAAACGATAAAAAAAAGTCCGGGGCGGAAAGGTCCGACTTGAAAAAAGTCTGATAAGAATTCGGAATATAATATAATATATTATACAAAAATGAATAAATAAAAAATATATAAATGTAAGTCCAATTAATAACATCAAACATGATTACAATAATACAAAAAATAAACAAATATTTATATAATACAAATTACGCGTCTTTAAACAATACGCTACCTATATTTGTTAAAAATTCAGTCGGTGTAATTGGTTTAAGAAACAAGTTTATGTTGTAGATACGTGTAGGAATAATTATTGTGCACAATTCGTTTTCCTTCCCTCAAAACCACAACTACCATTTTTAAAAGAAAAAAAATTGTAGGTTACTATACACTTTACACAATGTACCAAAAACAATATAGGTAATACCTACATTAATTGATAAAATAAACAAAGATTACGGTTCAATAACGCAGTTGGGGGCACACGTCGAGACGGTTGACTAGTCACCAATCAGTGTCGCTGCATAGCTGTGTAAGTATAGGTGTAATTTGTAAACTAATCTTGTGTATAAATAAATAAGATTACTCTCTATGCATTACAGGCCTTCAATTTTTGTGTGTACTGTGAGTATAAAAAGCGTGTAGAATTATTTAAAATGTACGGGTATCATGATGTAGGTAAACTTAAATTTCGCAAGTTGGTTATTTCATGTTTAGATAGAGATGTAATAGTAAAAATATTAAAATTGAAATTATAACTTCGCATTGAAAATTAGTCAATCAAGAAGTTTAGTAAAATAAAAAATGACCCTTTAATTTTTGATACCGATTCAAATTTACACGGGAAACAAAACTGTTTTCGTTTCATTTCTATATATTTTTAGTAAAATTTTCAATCTCTTCAAAATCATTTTTTGTTATACTTTTTTTTTGTAGTTAATAATATTATGTTTTTCAGTAAAACTGGCCAATATTTAATACACATGTCTATTATTTGTGCTCTCGGCACGTTGAAAATTGTGATGTTAAAGTTTTACAACTTAATATGGTTTGTAAATGTATTAAAAAGTAAAATATGTGTTTAGATATTTACTTTCTCGTTATTGGAACCAAATGGCCGTACAAATTTTGACGCAATCCATCGATTTAAAATGCTTTATCGCTTAAATGGAAATGTTTTAATTTATAGTATTAGATATTTTATGCTGTTGGCTGTAATTTGTAAAATATACTTTTGTTTTAAATTAAAGCAGTAGGTATACTACAAATTAACAAATATATTATTACATTTTCATACGTATCTTTTGTATTGAGGATTTGTAAAAAAAAAAAGGAAAAGTCAGTATTGTAATATGTATGTTGATAGGTACTACCTATATGAATGCAATTATTAATTGTTACATTCAACAATGGATTGTCATTCGCTGTATTACGTTAGTAATTTATCAGGAAAATTTACCAAAATCTAACCGTAGTTTTATGTCAATAAATCCAATATTAATATTTGTTTGGGTTTGTATCAAGTATCAATACCAATGTTGTCTTTTAGTTACTTCAATGTCTTTATTTCTACAAACATTTTATGAATTACCAATAAATTAAAATAACTGCACCTAACTTAGTTTAAGTTGACCAGTTGAATTCTAAAATTAACTCTTTGAGGGGCATTGGTTAGTATATTATCCACATTTGTTATGGCCTTTGAGAAATGAGAACTGGCGGTTAAAGTAGATAACCACTTACACAGGGTCGGCCTGGCCAGGGATATTTTCTAATACTGTACATAACATAAATAAAAATGTTTTCAAAAAGAAACACTACAAAATTGAGTAAACTTGTATAGGGCGTTAAAAGAATCACTCGGTATATCATATATGTAATAATCACTTACTTAAGTAAAAATAGTGGATTTTGCAGGAGACTAAGTCAATATAAGCCCCTCTAATATATAAATATTCCCCCCCCCCTTAAAAAGAAAAACAAATATAATTTCGCGCTATGTCTTATTATTTAATAATTAGGCTACAGTTATTAAGATGAGTGATGACATAATTGATTAATGTATTGTTTGTGTATGCAATGTTTAAAAATATTCAACAACCAACTCACCACAACAAGTTTGAAAAAATGTTTATACATTTTCTTGAATAAAATAGTTATTGGTATACTTAATTGATTAGATATTTAAAATTTTAGAGGGTTACGAGTGGTGTCTTCTTCCAATTGGGTAGTAAGTTCTATACATTTTTACAAAAGTTACGAAACATCGATTTTCAAAAACTGAAGTTTAAAAAATCCAGGGAAATCATAAATCAACCAAAACCCGCCAAAGAGGTCCTAAACACGTGTCCATTTAACAAATTATCGTTCAAATGATAATAATCAGCTGCTTTCTTGTTATAATCATTTTCATATCACGAGGACTATTATTAATTATATGAACTTTAGAATTCATGAATTTGACATTTGTCGTGACTGTTGTGAATAGTCTGTAAGTCAATTATAATACTTTAACTTTATATTACTTACCAAATTTCATCATCAAGATGAGTTTAGTATCGAAATTAATCGGCAGGAAATACCTTCAACAATCGGTTCAGTAGTAAGTTCATTTTAATTGTCCAATTTGTTCATCAAAGGTCAAGTTAACAATACAATCGTTTTGCAAATCGAAGACCGAAGTGCATTGATTTAGTTTAATTCATACATATATACTTTTATACTAATATTACGTAATGTTTTGTTATTTTTTTTTTATGTGTGACAATACGTTGTTATAAAGTATTTTCATACAAAATGCTTAAGCTCTACAAATAAATAATCAAATTATAAATAGAAAGACGGAACGAAATAGCGGTCCGTTGAGATTGACCATTTCAGTTTTTAATCAAGTAATTAAATATGTTTTAGCATTCCCAGTGCTGGTTTCTATGGCGTCACAGGATTTACTATGCTTTGCTACTTCACCGACTGGAAACTAGTTTTGCAATACGTACCATACTACAACACTAAATTCCCTAAGGTAGAAGAAGAAAACTAACAAGGAAACAATGAAATTACAAACTAGTGTAAAAAAAAAAAATGTATTAAAAAATTCACTGTAATAATTATTTAAAATGTATGTTCTGTTGTAGATTATTTATTATTATTTAAAGAATCAAATAAACTATATTGAATGTAACTATTTTGAACTTTCGTTTCCGCCTAATAATAATTTAAAATACCAACAGTTAAGCTGTGTTGTGTTTAAAATGACGTTAATCATTTCATTATATTTAACAGAAGAGTATGAAAATGGCATCAGATACATAAAGAACAATCATAATATTATTGTTTGGCTTAGGATTAGCCCTCTGAATAGTAATTAACAGAATAATACAACGTCAGGATTCAAGTTAAAATATTATTTTTACCTATATTGTAGTACCTAAAGAACTATACGTTTTAGTTATCCAGAATAAGTAATATACTAAAGAACTTATGTTCTAGGTTGTATTAACAATTTATGATGTGTGTTTTTTTTCTCTGTCTATACTACTGAACAGATTTTTTCGCGGTTGGTTTCCTCGCATCACGGCGCTTACAATAGGCTACCTAGATTTCTCCGTAATCTTCGTCTTCATTGATATCCTATCTGGAAGTAGCAATTGGTAGATCGGTAGTTAGCGTTTAAGTTGTTGTTGCTAGCCTAGGATTGTATATATTATATATTTCCTATGGTGATAACATCTAGCGCCCATTGTATTTCAACAACAACGGGCTTAGCTACCATAATTTAATTTAATTGACTAGAACTCTTTAAATAGATATTAAAATATGATTAATGGTTGACAATTAATTTCATGTCACACTATTGTAAAATACTTAATAAGTACTAATTGTAAATAATGAACAAATATTTTTGTTAAGACAAAACACTATTAGTAAGAGAGGATAAACTGGCTTGGCTACTATACCTCTCTAAGCCCTCTGGAAATTTTAATAATTGAGCCCCATTATGTTAGCAATTTTACCAATATAAAATGATTAAAGAAAACACTTAGCCGCCTCAACTATTAGTAGTGTCGGACTCAATTGGATGATATTATTACTGCATCTTACCAGATGATAATCATGGTACATTAAATAATTTACAAACATTTATTTCTAATTTATTTACCTTCAATAATAATCAACTATAAAAAGGAAATATAAAAGTATAACACTAAATTTACATCTAAAAAAAATGTATTCCGAGAGTGTCAAACGCAAACGTAGTTTTTTTACTTAAACCATTTCTATATATATATAATAAAATAATTTAAAAAAATTGGAATAAGATTAAGTGGCTTCGATTACATTAAATATTACAAAATCCATATAGTAATAAAAAAACCACTCATAAAAACTTCATAATTTAAAATAATATTAATTGCTATACGAATTCTGAATTATACCATGTTAAAATTGATTTTATAATAAAGTAATTAATTAATAATACACAACTTTACATCACACATAATATTATAATTAGTATACCAAAATAGCTTAAACGAATGGCCACATCTTGTTAATTCATGAACCGTAATGGCATAAACAAAATTAAAAATAATAACATTTGATTGAACTAATTAACTGTGTTAAAAATAAATAAAATAAAAAGCAAAATCACGTTGTAGACGATGGAGTAGAACTTGCATTGAATTTTGGCTGAATAATGGAAGTCTTTCGTGCTGGCACAGTCTCTGGTGTTGGTATAGTGTCTCCGGTACCGAAACCTAATACTTGTTGAACCGGACGATTAGCTATCTTACTACCACCTGAACCAACTTGCCTTGCCATTTGATAATCTCCCGAATCGAAAAATTTTTGCTATTGGACAAAATAAAACATTATTACATTTTTAACATTTTTATAGACGACTTCACGACAACTGTAATAAAAATAACCATTATTGGTTGGTAATTATATAATAATAAAGTTTAAACTTGTTGTTAGTCGCGCTGTAGGTCAAAATGACCGCAGTCACAGTGTGTGACTCAGGTAAAAAATGTACGCCGGCACACTTTTTTTAAGTGGAACATTAATTTAGGCAGCCAAAGTGTCATTTTTAATGTATGATATACACGTCTTGTAGAGCGGGTCATAATTTATTTTTCTAGTGAAATATGTCATCTTTGACCGTCTACCCTCGCTTTATCTTCCTAACCGTGCAGGCAGACTAATCATACGGTGTTGATGCTAAGCTAATGAACTCACTTTAGGTATAGGATTGCTTGTACCTTGTACACGATATTTTCATGTAACTAGTTCCCAGTCTTTAAATTTGTAAAAAAAAAAAATTTGCGTCAGATTGCATATGCGCCGTACATATTTAAAGTACATAGAATAAACTATTATTTCAATATAAACTTTGATATGGTGATTTTATTGACTTTATCAAGAAGTCTAAACATTATTAAACCTTAATTACTTTTAATGTAATCTTGACAATATATGTTTAATTAACTATTTGAATTAAGAATAGTTTGCTGACAATTTTAACTGGTTAACAATCAGTTTTGTATTAATACTTTTTGAGTTATTAATGTATACAATTTAGAACAGAAGTGCAATATTATTTTTATCTGCCCGTATTACTACTCTACAGCACTCCACCACTAAACTTTTAATACTTTTAATATAAACTTGAAGATAAGATAAGGTGCACAGTAATGTACAATTTTGATTGAAAAATTGTATTATCTGATCATAATTTGTCACACTGTTATAGTTAATTTAATATTCTATACTCTTTTATCTGACCCATATATTTCAAGAATTGATAGGGAACCGAAAATGTGCGAAAAGGAACTATCAGATGACGGAATAGTTTAATTGATGCAACTGAAAAAGAAAGTCAATTAAATGAGTCTTTTTCAGAAATTAACTTGTTTATCTCATAAAAAAAAAAACCCATTTATTAATTTTAAAGATTGAAATTGAAGTGTTACTAATTCATCATTCTCATTGAATTGACATTAGATCAGAAGTATGTCTAAAATTTAAAAAATCAGCCAAAACTAGGAATAATGGTTTATTCTAAGTAATTTCATTATGTACAGTGCAAATGCAATCTGACGCACACTTTTTTTTTTACAAATGTAGCTGATGACTTGCTCTACAAGATACGTGTAAAACATATTTAATAGTGTGACATTTTGAGTAAAAGTCTTTAAAGTAGGAAGTTTATTGAAAAAATACAAAAAAGATTTTTTTTTAAATATCTATTAAGTAAACAGTATTATGATTGTTAAAAAAAGAGTTTTACAATTTTTATTCAAGCAGAAAAAGTATAAGATTTGGTACAAATTGTTAAAAAAACAGGATAATTTTAAAACTCTGTTATTTAAATAGCTCTCTAGCACTACCAAGTCAACTTTTGGTCTAGAAATTCATAATAAACCTTATTAACCTAGGTTGTAATAAAAACAATTTGCTAATTCAAACAATTTTAATCATAGTTTTCCTATTGACACTTTTGGCCACCTAAATTGGCGCTTCAGAGCATTGTGCGGCCATAACTCCTTAAAAAATTGTATATGAAACATTTATTTTAAGTGTATGTTGTTCAAATTTAAAAGAACATCTAATTTGTCAAATATTGCCTATTTTGCCCCTTGATAAATAGCCACAATCGGTACTTCTAATATTATGACAAGCAAGTAGACAAAATTTAAAAATACCCCTTTTGCAAGACGCTTTTGAAGTAACGCAGAATGACCACTGACTGGAGGCCAGTTTGATTTCATCTGATACTGTTTCTTCATACTTTCTTCTTGAGCCTTTTCAACATCTTTCGGGTCCTGAAACAAAACGGTTATTAATGTTGGAAATAATATTTGACCCTAAGCAATTTGCAGGCCACACACTTTACCTTGGGCTTGCAAAATTCTGGATTTTTGTTTTCCGTTTGTGTTTGATCAGCCATAACTAGACAAATTTAGTCAATAACGTTAGTAGTTTGTATTTGGTCAGATTCAATTATGATACTATATATTATTATATAATATTATTAACTGTGCTTATCTATCTAGTGCTCATATACTATGAAGAAGGTTGTAAAGATAACAAAACCAAAAATGGTTAAATGGCCTGCGAAACGAACTAAAATATCTATATTCCAAATAAAAACTCCAAGGGGATAATTGTAAAATTTAAAATGGGCAGGTGTCGTGCAGATGACCTCGGATTTGAAAAGTAAAAAGAGAGAATGTAAGCAACACCGTTTACATAGAATGCCTCGGTTTTACATAATATTAATAACATCAACGCTAGTCAATCATCACGACGAAACGACAGTATGACGTTTTGTGCAAATAAATATGAAGAAAAAAAAAAGTTAGAATATAATATTTCCAAAGCACGTTAAGTTGCGTCGGTCGATGTAATTTTCACAGACACTTACTTGATATTACTTCGGAAGAACCTTTTTTTTACAAATCAATTTGGCTAAACCGTCGAACACGTTTTTCGGTCGTGAATCGTTTTGTGTAGCGGGAAAAAATTGATTTTTAAAAATAAACAATAATACCAATTTTATTATTATTCGATTTCGACAACGCCGTCGAATGTGTGGATTACGTACAGACTACAGACACAAAAGGTACGGTACGGACATCAGCACTTCTCTCCGCTGCTTATCAGAGTGATAAGCCATTATTCGTTTATTTTGTATTTTTTTTTTCTTTTGTTATTGTTTCGACGAGCGAGCAACAGCGCTATCAGACACGAGCGTTTGTCGAGCAAAACTCCATGGCAAAACTTGACAAGACATAACCTCAAAAAAATAATAATGTGCGAAACTGAAATCACGCAAACTATAACTGCACAGGCACAGTCCAGCCGAAACTTGAACGTTGCTTGTTGACTTTTCGTAGTGTGTCTTATTTAAATTTTTTTCCAAATTTTGGATTTTCTCGGCAGTTTTTTTTTAACTACCAAATATTTTACGAAAATTGTTTATATTTACTATAATAACTAATGTATTTTTATTAATATATATTTTTTTTTATTAACTTGCACAATATTAATCTTACTGCGTTTATAATTCGTGAGTATAGATATTATGTTATATATATATATAAAATTTCAAAATTAATAACCGGATTTTGTCGACGGTTTTTGTATTCTATAGGCACTCTACCCGTAATAATTTTTGAAAATAATTTAACAGACATTTTTATAAACAAAACACTATCGATGCTGCTCAGCTGGTTGTCATGGTACGTTCCATTGCGAGCGGCCTGGCCCATTTACACGAGCCGATAAACGGTACCCATGGGAAACCCTGCATTGCCCACAGGGATATCAAGTCGAGAAATATTTTGGTCAAGACTGACGGCGAGTGTTGTATTGCCGATTTCGCTTTAGCTGTCCGATATGACAGGTAAATGTTCCTTATCGATTATTACAGGTCAATGTAGATATAAAAGTGTTATTTCGCTTCAATGTTTTTCTTATTGTTATTGTCGTTACTTTTTTTTAGCCGAAGAAATGAAATTGACATCGCTCCCAATTCGAGAGTGGGCACTAGGAGGTACATGGCTCCTAAGTTGTTAGCGATGCCATCGATGTAACGTCGTTTAGCGCGTTCAAAGCGGCTGACATGTACTCAACAAGTTTAGTATTCTGGGAGTTGTGCAGAAGATGCCGACAAGGTTGGCCTGTAGGCGGTTCACCCATGTTACAAGCCGAAGAGTAAATGTTGCCTTATAGCAATCTGGTTGGCCCCGACCCATCCGTAGAAGACATGCGACTGGTACTGATGGTACAAGGAGCAAGACCGGATATACCCATGAGATGGAGAAGTGATCATGTAAGTTCATTGTATAATTTTTTTGCAACTGTAGTTATTAATTAATATTTGGTTTTTTATTAAACAGAGGTTGAGAGTAATATCGGAAATCATTCAAGAGTGTTGGCATCAAAATCCAAGTGTTCGATTACCTGCATTGAGAGTGATGAAGACGCTGCGTAAATTGGAAGATAGCGAAACTGTGGAAAACGGAATCCATCACGTCTAAATGTCAAAATAAGGCAGCGTGTGTAATTTTTAGCGCCGTTTTTAAGACGACATACAGGATTATATTACTATATTTTACTCCAAGACTGCGTAGATAGAATTAATTTTAAATGTTATTATTATTATTAACTTAGAAAACGAACAACAAATTGTTCAATTCGAGTTAATGAAACGTACTTACTTAACTCCTTATGTATAAAAATATTATGTGTCATTTGTATTATCGCAGTGTAGTCGATTTTATATTTTGTTTAAAATTATTCTTGTAGAATTTTTTCTCTCGTGTATGATGGCCAGATATAATTGAATAATTTTACGACGGTTTCGATTCAATCTTAACATAATCAAACGTTCGTTTACTTCCTGCCCCTACCCCCCTTATTTATAACTATCACAAAATAGTACAAAACAACATGTACGACAAAATTGTACACGTGATGTCTGTTTTTTTGTTTTTACCGTACGAGAGCAATTTCATATATTGTTTAGGTAGCCGATATCATTTAAAAAAAACATTTTTTTTTTTAACCATTACCTATACATCACTTGTGTGTGCTCTCTCGCTAACATTTATTTATTTTTCAAGTATTTACATGATAATGTTGTGTTTGTGTGTTTGTTTTTCCAATGTAAATAATATATTCAACACAATATTATGTTTTTATAATTTTTTTACTATTTTTTGAGTTGTGTAAAATAATTATATATATTGTCGACAACGACTGTTGTTTATTTATTACACAATTATATATTGTTTTAGAAAATTGTTGTATTTTTTTTATCAAATGTATACTTAATCTATGAGTCAACTCCCAAAGTGTATGTACTGTGTATAATATATATAGTGTATAATATGATATTCTATAATGTTTGGTTTATTATTATTATTTTTTTTTTAATTCATGTTTTAAGACTAGCGTGTGTTCTGAAGAGTAACAATTCGTTTTATAAACTAAAGAAAATAATAAATGTGTTACTCTCGAAATACTCGCGCATCATTTTGTTTAAATACAAATAATAAAAATGTATATATTTTTTTATTATGACTTGGGTTTTTTTTTTTTTTTGTTATGTTAGATTAACGCTAAAATGTTTATCCTAAATTTTTATTGCGATAATATTGTCCCGGCAAAAATGTTGAACAACCCAAAAACAAACATAATAACAACTCGCTGAAATACCTTATATTACGGTAAGTGTGTTAGGATGCAAGTATTGGGATTTTTAAACATTATGCGCCGTACGTAGTAGGTATAATGTAGATGAGCCGTTCCCTATATTGCCTGCATTCGAAAAAGTTTGCACTTTTCAGTTTGACCATAGCCATCAACAAAAAAATTGTACGTTGCACAGTTATGTTTTAACAACTTGCTTCTATAATTAGTCTTTATTTGTAAAAATGTTGACGCTTTCCATTCCCCTTAATGGGATTGCATGCGGTCGGTTTTTAAGGAGTTTTGTATAGGCAATATTTAAGACAAAAGAGGTTTTAATAAGTAAAAGTTATTTTGATTTATTTTAGACAGTGGCGTAGCTACCGTGGGTGCATTTTATTTTAAGGTGTTTTTGTACAGTTTACTATACACGTTAACATGTAATTAAGGGAGCAAAAAAAAATGTCTTGCTCCTGTCGCTTTAGTCTCTAGTTATGCCACTGATTTTAGACCAAGATGGTTCAATTTAAATTCTGTAAAGAAATTCGAGTTCTTTGGCTAATTTACCAAATGTTATGTAGAGAGCCGATGTTCATTGGAAAATTTCAGTTTCTTGTAATTTAAAGAAATTAAATTTGCAATTTTTTCAATATTAAAACTCGGTTTTTTTTTTTACATGAAAAAAAGCTAAAAATCTAAAACCTGTTTCCTACATAAACCAGTAAAGTTGCCAACGAACTCGTATGTCTTAACAAAATTGAAATCGGACCAACCTAAGTAGTCGACATTTTGTCTGGCATTTTGGTCTAAAACAGACTGCGCGTAATCCCCGCAAGGTAGCTTACCAATAATTATCGTATACGTATAGGTTCTTTTTTTTTCTATAGTGGCTGCACTGAAAATCGCATCCTTGATCGAATCGACACCTTGATGGAACGCGCCGGTTGTTTTTATCGATAAACGTCGTTTCACGGAAGCAACGTCGCTCGTCTTTTCCATGACAAGCCGACCTTTGTTTTGCTTTGCTCCCTCTCACGGCGGCGTCGGGCGACTCATCGTCATCGCCGCCTGTACTATAATATTATTTTCCCCGGAAATTGTTGTACCTTTGCCCCTATCTCTCGCGTCAATACCCGTGTCCGGTCCGCTAAGGTTCGCGTTTTCTATTTGGCCGTAAAGAGTTTTCTTTAAAATTGTGTTTTCCCCACGACTGTAAATCCGCCATCGAATCTTCTCTGTGTGTTTGCTGCCGCGATTCGCCCGTGTTATGCTCAGAGCACAGTAAGTAATTATTGTTTACTGGTGTAGACGAGAAATGCGAGATTTTGACCACAAGCGAGGTAGACAATTGGTTGATTGTGCCACTGAAGAGGATACCGTCTCAGAAGAAAACGCAGGTAGGTAATTGTTTTGTATAACATTGTAGTATTACAACAATAGGTGTAATTATTATTGGAAAAAATTGCATTGTTATTCGCGTTAGTCATATTTTGTGTTCTCCGGTGCCGTATTTTGCTGTTTTATCTATTAGAAATATCCCGGCGATGGCGTATCGGCCGAAAAAAAATAAACATGAACGAAAAATGTGCTTTATGTGAGGTATTTTTTTTTTTTTTTTATTAAATATTATTTTCGCCATACACTTGCCCACGGCCGACGTATTATAATTATTGTTACATCATACCAACGTTATCTGAACAGCTGTACCTAATAATAGGCATGATATAGCTTTCAATGTCTAAAAAAATAGTCGTGAAATACCGACGTCAATTTGCTTAGGTACACAAAATTGCATTCCCAGCACGAGTGAATAATTTGACCTCTTGTTAATGCTTCACTTTTTTTAAATTCTATATAATTGGCCAATTAGGCGCTCGTAACCTAACGTCCGTGTATCATACTCTGTATACAAGTCTTATAACATTCAAAATAAGTATAGGTACATTTACGTTATTAATTTGCGCGTCTTCCAAACGTAAGTTTTTCATTATTATACCTTTAAATGTGTATGTACCATTAAATATGTTTTGATAAAATAATCCATACATATCAGAATTTTGGCGTACCGTTTGACTCGAATGCTCTGTTATTTTTATACAACAAATCACCTCAAATATGAAATTATTGACAACATTTCCAATTGGCGATTTATTTCACCAAGATTGATGATTACAGTTAAACCACATATCGTAAAATACAGTATGCTATGCGAAAAACGGCATATATTTTGACAAAATATTGTGCAGCTTTAGATCATTTTTTATTTATTTTATTGAAAAAAATATTATGTTTTTTTAATATTAACTACATATTTCTGTATTCAGCAAAAGAAAAAATGCCTTCCGACACCGAAAGCAACACGAGCTTCAACAACACTAGTGTACGAACATTCAAGATATTCATTGGGAACTTATCAGAAAAAACTACATCCAATGACATCAAACCATTGTTTGAAAAGTATGGTAAAGTCGTCGAATGTGACGTTATGAAGAATTTCGGCTTTGTTGTAAGTATTTGAAACATCATCGTTATTGTTTTTAGATATTGTTTTTTTTTTTTTTAATTTAAATAAATTATGAAATAATATATAAATATATTTGGTGTATGTTTTCAGCATATGGACGACGACAATAATGGCCGAGCAGCTATCAAAGCTTTGAACGGTTCAATTGTTAACGATTTGGCCATGAAAGTAGAAGCTGCAACTAGCCGTCGGGGTCCTAATACACCAACTACTAAAATATTTGTGGGCAATTTATCTGAATCCACGAAAGCCCCAGAAGTTCGTGAATTGTTTGCCAGATACGGATCTGTAGTCGAATGTGACATTGTCAGGACATACGGATTTGTGGTGTGTAATTAATAAATGTCACCTAATATTACATAATAATATTTTTCATAAACTATAAAGTTAATCATACTTTTTTGCTGTTTTAGCATATCGATACGAACGACGTAAGTAGACTGATCAAAGATTTAAACGGACACATGTTGGACGGCCAACCAATCAAAGTGCAAATTTCAAACAGCCGGGTTCGCCAACGACCTGGAATGGGTATGCCGGAACAATGTTATAGGTATGTGCTTGCTATCGATGTAATTCATTTAGAGAAAATGTGTTGAGAAGTAATTTGCTAGTCACAGTTATTAATTTAATTTGTGCATAAATAAATTAAATTATCAATATCTCTCTACCTATAAAAAGTAAAACGGGAAATTTTGTCCAGGTGCGGAAAGGGTGGTCATTGGTCTCGCGAGTGCAGCCGTGAAGGGTGAGCCTTTCAACTTATTTCGCACATTCTTCTTTAATCCTACAACCGCTGAGTCTATACATTGGCAAAGTTACTAAATATGAAATATTTTATAGATATGGATATGGAAGGGAAGCTATGCCTCCTCTTCCACCACCACGTGCTCTTCTTTACCCGCCACCACCTCCGCCTTCATTTGTCCGTGAGCGTATATTGGGTTCTTATGGTACAGGCTTGAAATCCGATTTGACTAGGGTAAGAATATTGTATGAAAAATAGTTATGTTTAAAATCATTATCACAATTTAATTTTTTTCTATTTTATTGTAGATGGAAGATTACTCCATGTTATCCCACGCCGACTTAGGTAGTCACATGTACGAGGTAAAACCGTTTAATGTCAAAGTACAATTAGTTAGTTCTCTAATATCGTTTTAATTACATACTCAGGCTGATGGATTATACGATCGTTACTACGACCGCACTTTAATGCGCTCGGCGACAGATGGAGGATATGGTTTGGATCGTCGCATACCTAGAATGCCTTCAAGTCGCGACTACTTGTCATCATCGACACGCATTGGCACATCCATGCGAGACCCAGATTATGTATTTACTCGCCGATCACCATTATCGAGCAGCCGTACATCGTATGTATTGTTCTACCGATTTGTTTAGAAAATGTATTGTGTACTATTTTGATTAAATTATGTTAATCGTTTAACTAGGTCGTCTCACGCTTATGATGATTTCTCCAGGGATGCGTATGATGATCGCCGGTGAGTTATTTAAATAAATGATATGGCTTCTTTGCTTATACTAAATTTAATAGTCGCTTTAGTATAATTAACTGGCATTGTATGGTTTCAATATAGCCTAACATAATTAAAAATTATGGTATGGTGTATGCATTTCGGTTAAATGAAAATTATATGCTAGGAATTTTCGTAACGGTATTGAGTCGATTAAATATGTAGTTAATTTATATTTTAAAATAGCAATTTTTTTTTTTTTTTTTTACCAAATTGAAGTGTTCTTGTTCCATATGACAACGCTATTGGCCATGTGAACAAAGCTTTTATCATTTATGAATGTGTAATAACGTCACCATCATAAACAAACGACTATTAACTTCTTCTAATTAAGTTTTGACCAAAAAATTGTGTAAATGTTACTAAAATATTTGACATACTCGCGTTTAATATATTGAGTAAACAATAGCACTAAATTATTCTAAATTAACTAACATTGGATCACATAAGGCAAAAGATATGTTATATTAACAGTCCTATCAAATTCAATGGCCATTTGTGGATTAACGGAATCCAACTTAACCCTAAATGGACTTCCATGCAAACCATCATTAGTAATTTAAATTGCTGCATACCGACTATAAATTAATCAATGATTACACTATGATAATAATTATTAAAACAAATCCTTTTTTATCTCGTTTCAAAATTCATTAATAATATTTTATAAAAGCTATTTAGGTCAAAAAAACATTAAAGGATTTAGTACAGGCAATATATTTTTCATGCTAATGTATTTCCCTACATATATAAAAATTAAAGTCGGATGTTCTTATTTTTTGGTAATATCGCTAAATTTCATTTATAATCTTAGTCGAACGATGTCACAGCTTTTGTTTCATAAAAAAAATTTACAATAAATATGCGTATAATATAATTTTATGTAAATTAATTTTATATTAATTAAAAGAAGTACACTAGAATGTTGTTTTATGTAGTTGAACACACCTATGAGAAACGTGTTTGTGGTTTGTTGTTTCGTAACTAAAATAGACATAATTAACAACAACAACATGTGTTTGGAAAGACCTTGTTCAATTTTTCAATGTACGATTGGGAATGCGCTCAATTTTTAGATAAACTTGAACAAGTTCATTTTTTTTGTTTTGTAGAATATTTTTTGTATACTATGACTCGTGAACTCCTCGCTTTGTATTAATGTTTTATAGTCTCGTTTTTTTTTTTGTAAAATCATTTCATTGAATATTATTTTTAAAAGCTGTTATAAAGCCAGGGCTCCACTAAAAAAAAAAAAATTATTATTATAACAAATAAAATTCTCGCATATTTTTTTTTATTTTACTGATCTACTTTATGTGACCCTGGCTTTGAATTAAACACTTACAATTATGTGTTTAATATTTTTGTCGCTCTAATTTTATATGAAGCTTTAAACTCATATTATTAACATAATATAGTATAATATTGGTTTTTGTCATGGACATAGAAAATCTTATTGAAGCATGAACTATACACTTATCTGTTGCTTTATCATAATAATATTATTATTTATGTAAATATGTGTAAAGTGGATTTACTTTGTTGAGCCTTTACTTGCATGTTTTGAATGATCTTTGATAATTTAAAGTTTATTTACATGACTTTATGGTTAATCCCCAATTATGTTTTTCTTTTCCGTCAGAGTATCGGGATCTCGCGGTTCGTCGCGTTACACGCCGTATTAAAAAATATAATAATCGTGTATATATTATCGTGCCGTGGCCGTGTAATCGCGTCGCCGGATCGGATAACCGTACACGCCTTCATTGCCGACCGCCAACAATTTTTTTTTATAACTTTACATTAAGGCGAACAATTATAAGAAGACCAACATTTACAAAATCTTGTTTAAGATTGATTGTCATCATATTTTAATATATTTTTTTTTCTAGGATTAATTTAAACATAATTTCTTAGTGTCAACAATTAATTTTTCTTTTTTGTATGATTATTATAATTATTATTATTATTATATATAGGAATAGACTTAACAATGGTAAATATTATTTTGGGCTATTGACTATGTACATCCAAATTCATTTTCTGTCTTTGTAAACCATTAACAAATCTAAAATTAATTTAGAAACATTCATTGACATTGTTTTTTTTTTATATATATAGTCGTTCGTAAATCACACAATATTAACAATTTTTTTCCCCTGTAGTTTCTGTTTGTCGAGTTATTAAAAATATTTTCTTTAGAAACGTATGTAGTAAGAACCTTTGTAGTCAAAGGCATTATAATAATTAGGTTGATGTATTGTTGATTAAAGTACTAAACAAACATGAATATTGTAAGCCCAAATCAATTTTTTTTTTTTTTTTTGACAAGAAATACTTTGTAATTTTCATTGTAATAAAATTATAATCGAATTGGAAAACCAGATCTATTTTGTCGTTGCTTTTATTCTTCTTATATTGGTTAAGTGTTTTTTTTAGTTATGTCCGTTACAGCCGACCGATCTAATAGTTCGCCGAAAACGTGTTGATATTTCTTCTTACACCGATCGATACGTGCGCCGTACTGAAGAATATCCGAACGAAGCCGATGCGTTTGTACGATTCGTGTAAAATACTCATACGTAGGTAAACAATCATTAAATTCATATAGTTTGTTCGTCTGTGTGTGTTTGTGAGTACTGCGGATTGGAAAAAAATAGGCCTATGTTTTCTCCGAGAAAACGATACACGGTCGTCCTCGGTGTGTGTACCGAGTAGTTTTGTACACTCGTCTAGACGGTCGTTTTCAATCTGATGCCGACGATTAAAACATATCACATTACATATGATTAATTTTAATAATTAACAATTGGAAATTTAGCTCATCAGATTATTTGATGTATGTAATATCGGTAACAGATAAGTTTTACCGAAACTCAAATTAAAAAATTGATCAACTTGTGAATTAGTCTAAATCACAAACGAGCTTTAAAGGAATAGATTAATATATGTTTTTTATTTTATTTTAGTCTATAAATATGTACGGTTATTACGTTAGCAATCTTAACACTGCAATAATTTTTTATTTATATTTATACGTTTAATCTATTAGATATTTTATTGTGTTGCAGAACTTTATTAGTATGTGGTTGAACGCCAAAAAAAAAACAAGTAGCGACTTGTTGCATAGCGATACCATGCGAGTGATTGATTGGCATTGATTGTTGCCGAGAAAAAATTTTAAGTATCGTGTTATACGTTGGTTAGTATTTTTTTTTTTTTTTGTGCGGCATTATGAGATCCTTGATCTTACATATTCATACATTTACAAAATATATAAAGCTGGTATATATAGGAAACCAATGTTTTATTCGAATAAGGAGGACTGGCACAACTCTGCTTGTCCGTTGTAATTCTATTTGGGAAATACCCTAACCAAGGAGATTTTTTTAGATGAGATAAAACTACTCTGAACTGCAAATTAGGGAATTGTTGTTTTTTAATAGTAAAAAAAGCTTCACTATAGATTTTTGAAGAAAAAAAAATTGGTGTGGCTACAAATAATCAACTTGAACATATATTATAAATTATGTTTGATAATTTAATTTTTATTATAAAGATTTGATTTGGAACTATTTTAGATAAAAATATGAAACTACCTAAAAGGATAAAATTTGAAAAATAGTCCACCTCTTTTTGGGGAAAACCACAATTAAAATTTTAAAAAAGAAAAATATTTCAAATGTAAAACAAGCTTTTTGACCTTGTTATTCATCGTATATATTATCATATATTTATCGTTACTTAATTTTTCATTATTTTTTTTTTTTATATATATAATTAGGTTTTTTTTCCATTTACATATTACTTCATTTCATTCATTCATTACATTTATCTTAGATATCTTCAATTTCTGGTCAGAAACAAAAGGCTTTAATTAATAAGTTGACAGATAGTTCTTAGAAAACAGAATTATATTTAATTTTTCCAATTATTATTTAGATGAATTGTATTAATCAACCAGTGTTGCTTTTTTTGCAGGTGTTTGGACTTAGTTCAACTTTAAACTGTTTGGTCTACTGAACGAAACATTTATTGGAAATTCGATGTTCTTGCTTCATTTACGGATATTTTTAGAATCGTAACTCTATCAAAGACATTTCGTATTAATAAATAGGCCTACCATAACGATATCAGACTGAATTTTAAGTTTTATAGTTTGTTAAAGCTAAACTGTTTTTGTAAAACAAAATTGTCTCGACTGGATGTCTGGACAGTAAAAAAAAAAAATAATATGAATGTTAACACTATGTTGTTGTTAATAAAACTATAAAGATTATCGTTGAACTTATTATTATTATTATTAATTAAATCTTTACGATTCATTTGTGGTAGTAGTAATAAAATAAAAACTTCTGACATTAGTAATTAATGGAATGTTTGAAATTGTCATGCGTGTATACACTTGACTGAATTGGCGTTAATCAGCCATTATAACCTTGGTAAATAGTTAAACATATAATTACTATGAGCCAATAATGATGTTTTTAAGAGCAAATTTTTATCTGCTTGGTAGATTTTAGTCGATTCTTAATAAATTAATTAATTTCAATGTATTTATATATTATGTAGATGTGTATTTACTTACATGGGTCAACTCTAGTTTATATTTTGAAAATATTAACTCTGAAGATAATGTTAAGTTTTATTATCGCAGATTTTATGTCTAAATTAACTACCTGAATTTTAAGTGGACTTCTAAAACTCCAATACATCTTTACAGATAATACAATGGTCAACGCACCGATGACGGAACTATAAAGACAATATTGTTGTTGACGAGTGTCTTCGTTATAGAATTTCTGTGTTAAAATTATTTAAGTCTTATATTTTTACAATACTAAACAACACAACAAATGTAGAAAAAAATATTACCTATATTGTTTTTATACATTCAAAGGCGATCGGTATTCCTAATTAGATTTTTTATGATGAAAAAAATATTACCATTAGGTTAACCTTGGCAGTATTGTTACCTGGCTAGCAAGAATAGAATGTTTAAAATAATAAAACAGATTTGCCTAAACAGTTGAATTTATTGGCTGGCAGTGGTCGATCTTGACTAATATTTATAATCAAGTGTATTAAAAAAAAAAAAAAAAAAATAGTAAGTTCTTAAACAATTTTTTTACAGAAATTTCATTGTTTAATTAGTGTTGTAAACATTTTCTGTATTTTAGTTGAGAAGTTTTTATTTCTCGCTTCTGTAGCTGAGCAATTCTATAGATCAGAAATGATTGTACCCCTAGGTACTTTATTGGGTCATAAGTTAAAAATGTTGAATTAATACAGTCAACGGGTATCTAGAAAATATTCGTTGATTACAATATATATATATATTTATACAGGGTGATCCAACTAACGTAAGACACTATTTTTTTATAAAGTCATAACAAATGAACAAATAAATGAAAATTCAAACGCTAACATATTCTTAGTTAGAAAATGTAATTAGTTAATTATGTACCTAAAAGTAGTGATGGGAAAATCCGGATTTTTCGAAGTTCAAAAAACCGGAGTTTTAAACTTCGAAATCCGGAGTTGTAGTATTCGAACTTCGGAATCCGGATTTCGAAGTTTTCGTTATAAATCCGGATTTCGAAGTTCTCGTTATAAATCCGAGATTTCGGAGTTTTCATTATAAATCCGTAGATTGGATTTCAATTTTTTTACAATAGTAAATTAATTATATTAGTTAATTATTTAATATTATGTATAACGCGTTTATGCAGTGTTCAAAAAAATATTTAATTATTGAATTGGTAAATTAGGTATCTGTTTTTATAGTTATAAGAACATTATGTATAAACACGATTTACAAGTCTCAATGACACTTTTATAATAGATTAGAGCAATAAGTTGTAATAATATGAAAAATACACAACACAATATATATATATATATATACATATATGTATATATAAATGAGGAAAATAAAAAAATAATAATAAGTCAATCTGGAGTTGTATATGTCTTAAATCTAAATAAATAATAATAATACTTATAATACTTTTTGATATAAATAGTTAAGCAGTAGAACCAATTACATTATATAAAATTGTAGTTAATTACGGTTGTTTTTAAAGTAATTAACATTTTAAATAAAATGTGCTACAGTTGATTGGTAAATTGTTCTTGTAATAAAATTATTTTTTACTTTTTAGCTCACATTTTACTGAACTGTAATACAGCATCCTTACTTTGTATTTAAGCTAGATTACATATATGAAACTTAAAGTTCATTAGAAACATATAACTTAGGGTAATTTAATTGAAGGGGTATGATAATAGCATTTCATAAAGGATTAAAAGTCAACTAATTTGAACAATTTGGTCATCTTGTACTGCTGAATTAGTAATTACAAAATGGCTTTTTGAATTTTAAAATCGGTAATTTGGCTTTTTATTTAAAAATCCGGATTTGTCATTAAACCCGGATTCTTCGTGAAATCCGGATTCTTCGTAAAATCCGGATTTGTTTCATTGAACTTCGAAAATCCGGATTTATTTCCCATCACTACCTAAAAGTTTAGGAAAAAAAAATTCTCAAAATATTCATATTTTCAGAGAAAATAGTGTCTTACGTTAGTTGGGTCACCCTGTATATATAGCAAACAATGGCAACAAATTATTATAGAGAAAACGATCAACCCCAATCGTATATACTCTAAGATTAGAATAACTTACTTAGGCAAGTTTGATATATTATAGCCGCTGATCGATACAGTTAGACTTTGTAAATAATAAATACAATTATGTATTAAGTATATGATATTTGAAGCGATTTATTAGGTATAATTTTATTTTTAGTGTTTTTACATAAAAAAAAAAACTTGTTTTGTTGAGAGTTTCTCGATTTGAAACCAAGTGCTCGTCGATGTAAACGGATAGTATTTATATCACAATGTCTTTGGACTTTAATTTCCTCGAAATTACTTTGCTTTTCATTAGCAAAGAATAAAGATTTACACTTAACAGATAACTCGATTTGACAGCGTTAATTACAAATCCTATATTATCCTGTTCAACATTTTCGTTTGGATTTAAAATCATAAAATCCGGTGTATTGTTTTCGAGATAGATAAACGTTTTTGAAAATGTTAATCTACTTTTTTTTTATTGTATACATTTCCACGACTAGCACAAAAAGTAAAATTAGGTACTTTTAATATTCTTAAATTATCCCTTGCCAAGTTAAAGGGTTCAATAACTCATAAGGTATTGATTGAATGCAATTACAATTTGTCACATTGCACGTGACTTTAACCACATAATTTTCTAACTACAAGATTTGTCTAATATATTTTATAGGTACCTACTTAACATTTAAAATTAAAAAAAAATTGATATGAACTGTTTGTCTTGATAGTCTTTGCAAATGGTTAACGATATTCTGTACTTAAAACATTTTTTGAAGAAAATCAAATATATTGGATTACACAATATTATTACAAGTATTTTAATTATTAAAAACATAAACAAAACTAAAAATAATAATAAACAGAATTAAATACGACCACCTTACTTTTTAAACATATTTTCTAAGAACACTATTCGTAGGTATTCAATTACCTTTAACTTTATTCATTAACACATTTTAATAAATTTAAAGCGAATATCTTGTTTTACCTATTATTATAAATTACCTAATATTATCATTTATCAATTATCACTATAGTCGTAATGAATAGCATTAGTATTGCATCTAGTAAATAAAATAAAATATATTTCAATGGGCAAAAAGTTTTTAAAAAAGTCAAGATTTTTGCACTCAGCTTTTCAATTACTTATTCATACTTTTAAAAAAAATATAAATTCGGTATATATAGGAAAACAATTTTTTAGTCGAATAAGAATTTGCACAACTCTGCTTGTCCGTTGTAATTCTGTTTGGGGAATACCCTAACCAAGGAGATTTTTTGGATGAGATAAAACTACTCTGAACTACAAATTAGGGAATTGTTGTTTTTTTTCATAATAAAAAAAGCTTCAGTACAGATTTTTGAAGGAAAAAAAATCGGTGTACGTTATCAGGCCACAAATGGATCAACTTGAACGTATATTATAAAACATGTTTGATAATTTAATTTTTAATATAAAGATTTGATTTGGAACTTTTTTAGCTAAAAATATAAAACGACCAAAAAGTTGAAAAATAATCCACCTTTTTTTTTTTGGGAGAAAACAAGTTTAATGTTTCTTTCTAGTTAGAGCACAAAAATACATTTTACATGAAGCTATACTAGACATTGCGTGTCAAAAATATGCACGAAGTACTTAATCATTCTGATGTGTTTTACTAGTAGGTATGTATATTTTTGGGGACAATATAAAATTCGGTAGATTGTGTATTTTTTTTTTTACATATTATCCTTTACTATTTATGACAAACATTAAATGCCTACTTGGTCGGTAATTGAGGGGCTAATACGCCGTCTGTTAGTCGATAACACTGTTCCGGTGCACTTTAATAGCATTAGTATACTTTTATAATTACACACAACCATTCGAGATAGACAAAAATGCAAATTCACCCAAACTATTGTTAGGCGCCTAAAATCGTTAGATAAAAAAATATGATCATTTTATGTGCTATGCAAATGGTAGGTATTATCTAGTAATGGTAACGTCATTTAGTTTAAATACCTCAATTGAATCGCTGTTTGGAGCAGAAATCATCCGGTGTTAGTAACTTTATAGTACTGACTTGACAAGTGCGAAAACTCTTCCCATCAAATCGGTAAGCAGTCAATTGTCGTTAACTTGTATTTGTGAATTTATAGTTTGAAAATTTACAAAAGTAAATTAAAAAGTATAAGTAGCCTTATTGTATTTTACAGAACAACATGAATACAAAATGTTTAATCGTCACCATCGTGTTGGCTGTGGTTTTCCAAAACGCATATTGTGGTAAGTTTAAACATAATTAATACAGCCAAGTTTTAAAAGTATTAATGTTATTATTTATATCCTACTTGGATGCTATAACAGTTACAAGTCTTTTGCCCAATGGCTTAGATTGTGTAGCTTTTTAAATATTTTTGTTTTAAACCGCTGGGCCGATTATAGTATTAGTATATTTTAAAAAGACAAAAATGTATCATTAAAAAATCTAGAAAACCACCACAAAAATTTAACATTTAAGAAAATAGTCGAAGTACTTCTAAATTTGTGTGAGGGGATTTTTTTTTTTTTTAACTTGTATGAAGGAAAAAAACAAAAAATATTATTAACCCTTTCCCTTGAAAAAGGATGAAAACTTTTTCTTTTATTTAACTTAATTGGCATAGCTTTAGTACTTAAAAGTTAGACTGACTGAATGTAGATCTAGTGAGTGACCTTATAACGTATACAAGATAGAACATTGTTTTTATTATTAAAAATCAAAATTAGTCTAAATGTACCATAGATCTTCGACAATTTAGTATGTTATCTGCTGATGTTTGCTTATTTTGAATTAATATTAATACACTTTGAACATAAAGGGAGATAACACTTACAGAAGACACTTCCATTTTATTTTAAAAATTATAGTAATTTTACCAAACCAACCAGTTAAAAATTGTCAGTAAATAATTTTTAACTTAAAAAACTAATAACCTACATTTGCCACATTTTTTTTAGATCCAAAACTCTAAAAAATCATATGACTCGATTACTAACATATTTATTGGCTAAAATAATTATTTATATATATTTGTTTTTCATAGTTTTTACCGCATACCTACGCTTTTGCATCGAAACGTTTATTTGAAAGTGATAAAACCACTTTTAGTTATTGTATAATTTGTGAATCCATCACCGTCTTCACTGTCCTAATTTTTTTTTTTACAAATGTAATTTGCTCATGGCAATTCTTGTTGGCAATTTAATCGTTAAATTGTATTAATGACTAATTTTTAACTTTTACTAAAAACAAAAAGTGTTATTTCAGTCTATCTTAAAATAGGACAAATAAAATCAGTTAGTGACCCAATAATTATAACACAGTATTAGCTTAACTAATTTAGTATTAAGTATTAACTACTTACCAGAACGGCACTTTTTATGGCTTTTATTTTAAATCTTTTGAAAACATTTTATGGTAATAGGATGGCAAATATGATTTGCCTAGGGGATTAATAATATTTAATCCTGTCTCTAATGGTAGACATTAGAAAAATACATTACACGGTAATATAACCTTTTTTTGTACCCGGGGTCGATAAAGATCCTAACAAGTAATATACATAGTTTGTAGGTGTTAAATCATAAAGTTTGTAAAAAATGCTTCTTTTGATCAAATAGTGATTTGTTTTATTATTTTACTGCTATTGATACATAACACATTTGCTTAAAAAACAGTTCAATAGATTATTGTTGGCGCACACGGCCTTTGAAAACACAATACCAATATAATAAACTATTTGATCATTTTTAGCAAAATACGAAAATAAAATAATATTTTTGTATTATAACTTACCTAATCCTAAACGAAAAGACAGCAATACATACGGTTCATAGCGTCCTTAGATTTCCCAATGTAAATGTTATTATTTATTTCATATTATGTCGTTAGCCTTTATGTTATGTCAAATGTGTATTTCTTTAAAACTCGATACCATCATGCGGTTAACAGTATGATATTGTAAATTTGATTGTATTATTTTTAGTTCTCACTTAAATTAAATCACTGCTAGTAGTCTTTAATTATTGCAATCGGTGTGATCATTACCAACCAATAGTATTATACATTTTTGGTGCCTTCACCAATTGATGGTTGGCTAGAAAAACGTTGCAACTGACAACAAAATTGAAATATTAAAAAAATTAGATTTTTCCTCTAGTTGCACGTATAGTGTTTACCCGGTCCCAGGGTTACCAACGTGCTTAAGAAAAAAATCCCCAAGTCCGCGCGGTAGAGCATTATTTTGCCGGTTTTGATGAAAATGTCAGTTACAACGTTATTCATGGCCATCATTCAGTTGTATATGAATAGTTTGACCTACATTCGTATAGTATAATGTCCTAATAAGTTCTATATTATAATATTAAGATAACGTTCAATTTTAAAGGTGTGCCTGCAAACCGAAAAGCCAGAGCAGCAGACTCTGAACTCGACCATGACGCCGGCTTGTCCAATTCTCAAGAACAACTCGGTCGCGGATTTACTGACGATATGAATAATTACTACAATCAGTTCAACCAACAGAATCTCAAACCTCCGAGTTTCAACCAATCGAGTTTCCAAACTCCGAATTACAGTCAGCTCAACCAACAGAATTTCCAACCTCCGAGTTACAGTCAGTTGAACCAATCGAGTTTCCAACCGCCGAGTTTCAGTCAGTTCAACTAATCAAACTGGGTCTCGGGTTTTTAAGCTACATATATACTAACTGGATAATGGACACGCGAATAAAACATGCGACCGGATTTAGAATTTTATCATTAACTCTTCACAAATTGTAGCCAAAACAAATATTAAAGGCAATTATTCGGTTTATTTGGATAAACATTATTTTTTCTAATTATAAAAATTACATCTTAGCATTGCGATTTACACACGAGACGGATTATTTGTTTTTTGTTTGTCGTTCAATCATCAATCCATACACACTTACGAATTGATCACATTTTAATAATAAACGTGCACTTAATACATTTGTTATAAATTATATGAAATTGTCATAATATATAAAAGTGAGTATGATGTCGTATATATTTATATTTTACTTGATTTTCAGTAAGTATCACGCAATTGACGGGAAAAAGTAATATTGTAATTGTCAAAAATGTATACCTCGTCTGCGGTTTGAGGCAAAAAATTGAGAAAATAAATCAGCATTTTTTAACGGGGGCACAAGGGTTTGGAAAATATCAGAAAAATTCAAGATGCAAAAATCAAATGGGGTACTTAGGTACTATGATATAAAACTTTGCCACGCCTATACTAATAAATTAATAATATAGTGATCATTATTACCCTCTCCAAAAACGCCACTGACTTGAGTAATCGGAAACGGATCACCTTCAATGTCTCCTTAACTTAACTCCAAAGTGGGCAATCGTTCGCCCAATGCAAAATATAAGTGTAGGTACCTAGGTAGTAGGTACTTGCCGTTTAATATTTTAATTTTGCAAACCGTTTCCTTTTGACCATTATCGTGTTGCGATCCAGGTCATCTATGTTGTGGTACATTTTCGCAATGTACAATATTATACCTATATATATATACATATATATTGTAGAAAAAGATAGTTACTTCCGATGTCGATAAACGTGCATATCATATTGGACATTTTTGTCTAGTTAAATATTATTAATAGTATTATTATTACTGTGTTTCGATACAATAATCATTATAGTATATTATTATTATTATTATTATATTACACGATAGGGGCCTACGGCGATGATGTTCGCCTGCATTTTTATGTGTTTGCACAGTTGACCGAAACATCTGTCTGCACCGACTCGTGCCTAGCATATTACTACAAGTGTGGGTATACCCAACTGTACAATATTGGGAAAAATTATATTTTGTTTTCGAGTGTATGATGTCGTGCATTTGAAAAACTGTTACGGCACACTCGACTGTATGTATACACCGTATTATCCGATCCGTGAGTTTCGAAATTTAATACACACAATCGAGACTTGCAAAAAAAAAAAAAATATATCCGTCTCGGTGTGCCTACAGCAAGTAGAATAGGAGGTGGCCAAGTATGAAGCTTAAACCCATCTTTGACGCGTTGAAACGAGAAAATGACTTTTGATAAGCTTAAGGTCAGTATATAATATTATGTGTGTGTGTGTAAATCGTTTATGATCCGCGTTTAAAAAAACTCGGTGACCTATATTTTTTTTTTTTTAGTACCCAATATACATATTACGTAGCCTATATTTAGATTAAAATACTCAATAGTATATATTATTATCGTTGTGATCTTATAGGGTTTTTTCGCAATGTTCAAAAATTGGTATCGTTGTTGTTTTTTTTACATCGGAGTCGGCCGTCAGCCAGAAGACGTGGGCATCAATCTGGGATTACTGAACTCGGCGGCAAACAATGTAGCTGGCAGCACCGAGTGTTACACTGTTCAAAAAATATCCAGGTGAGCATAATTTTCTGTTTTCTTCCAATATGTGTGGTGATATCTCATTTCAAGATATCGTGGGTCAAGACACACACAAAAAAAAAAAAGGAAATGAAAACACTGCCTCGATCGATGAGAAGTATAATACGGAGAAAAAGATGTATAACAATATGACACCGATCTATTTACAGGGTGGGGAAAAGAGCGCAAACACCCCTTTAAGATGTCCTACGGTAGACGTTAAGTAAAGGAGTACGTTAATTGTGTGTGTATGTGAGTTTTGGTGCTAACATTTTTTAAAGGTTGTGGCACACAGTTTGGCTTTAAGATTTGACTGTATGTTTTCTTTGGTAAATGGCAATAGCTGAGTTTTACATAAATCGTACACAAGGTTGAGATATTATAATGGCGCAAACAGTTGATAAGCAAATAATATTCTATTGGTCGGAAATTCCGACTCGGAATCAAACAAGAGTTTACCACTTGAAAAAACAGTAAAAAATTAGTAAGAGTAAAGCATAGTATAGGCTTGGAGATAATAAAACAGAACCCTATAAAAACAGAGCCTATGTGATAGGTAAGTTGTGATGATAATCAATGAAGTTGGTAGTTGAGTTGTAAGGTTCAAGATTGTGGTTATAAAAATATGAGGACTTTTGTAAGCGAAACAATAGCGTTTTATATGATAAAGCCCAAACGGATTCGAAACAGACTTAAACGTACTTTTGGATGGTTCTGATACCGGCAATTGACATATGGATTAGAATTTTGAGTTGTAATTACAATAAAACATAACACAATATTGGAATCAGAGACGGGCATAAGAGTTGCAAAATCTTTATTTATAAATTAAATTTAAAATGAGAATATTGTCAATTATCTTTTGGAAAAACGATAAAGTTCAAGTAATTTAGACTTACTACGATATTTGTTGCCCATCTATGTTTGGTATGTTATGCTTTAATAATTGAAGAAATTATATTGATATATGTATATAAATGTTTTATGGAGTGTAGACGACAAAGATGCAGCAGATACCTAATAGTATTGACAATGAAGGCGAAAGGAAACTTGGCAAAGAAGAGAAAAAGGGGGGGGGGGTTAGAAGAAATCGAAAACAGTGGCCTTTAAGTGTGCTAGAGCTTAGATATTAAGGAGCGAAGGGGTGGTGGAGTTCTAAAAAAATGTATAAAACTTTTTCTTCGACGGTGGCAGCAATATGGGGGGGGGGGGGTCTGGACAGGCCGATAGGTTATAAAGGTTGCTAACTTAAATCCACCTGGCTGTGCCACCGATAAGAAATTATACGGGTTTAAGTACTAGGGACTAGTACAGTCGACATCAATTATAGTTATAAGACCGTAACGTGGCATATGAGAATCAATATGGAATAGGATCTTATTGACAGTATTGATTGATTCCAGTTTTGGCAGAGCCATTTCTCACGACGAGGATGGTTTGTCCATGTCTGGCGGTGTGACGAGCGACGGCGAAGAGGACGATCCCCAACAGAAATCGCAGCCGACCGTTAAGAAAAAAGGCAAATGGGGCAAAGCGATTAAAAAAACCAAAGACCCGAAAACCCCAGACTCTTTTCAGACATTGGCTGGTGTCAGCATGATGATGTTGCAACCGATCACTGCCGGAGTCAGTTCCACTTCCACGCCGGATTTGGTGAGCGTTTGTGACCGTTGTGCTTTTTTTTTTTGCCATTCGATATAATACGAATACATTTGCACTACTGTGATTTTTTATTCTATCCAGAGTATAACGTCCCCGAAAAAAGACTTCGTCAAGAAAGAAGACAAGATGGACTATCTTTCTCCGGCTTCGTGTAAAGAGACCGCCGGATGGCTCAAGTCGCAGAGCATGCAGGCAAGTAATAATATTTTCAATGTAAATAATAATTCATCGGCGAGCATTAAAATATTCATCGATTTTCGATTTAGCTACGGGCAGGTTAGTTAGATTTATTAGAAAAAACTATCAAAAAAGTAAAAAATATATACGCTTATAATCAAAATTAAAAAAAAACCTTTTCATAGGTTGTTGCTAACACTGCACTGCAAATCCTTATAAACCATACAAATCAATAGATAAATTCGAATTTCACATCACGGTAATGTGATAATATTATAAGTGACAAGTCATATTATGACGTATTATATCACACGGTTATAGTGGTTAAGCAAATTGACCAGATATATGTACCAGAGAATGTAATCTCGTCATTGTGGTCACACTGCAGTTCGCCCTTTTGCGCTTCCTTCGCAATATCTTAATACTACTCTTGTAAAATATTTGTCTTAATATTACACTTACTCATTGCGAGACAACATTTGTATTGTTTTGGGTTTTTCCCGCTTCCATTCGAGGTGTGTTGTTCGTACTATTTTTAATATCCAAACTAATGATTTGTTGTTGCGTACCGTAATAAAGGACATGACCACCTCAACAACAGACTCGGACAGTTTTGCCGTGTCTTCGATAAGCGCCGACGACACCACAACACCTGCTGTGCGTTCGCACCGCTTCGGGTCTGTCGCTACTTCCATGATGAACGTCACCAGCAAGTTGACTTCCATGAGGTCCAAGTCCAGCGAAGCGGTGGCCGCCAACAATTGGAAAACGGCCACGGAGAACGTGCCGCCGGTCGATCCGAACGCGCATCAAGAACAGGCCTATGGAAATGTCAACTTTAAAATCACATACGACCAGCACACGAAAAAGTAAACAATATAATATGTTTTTCATTATTATGATTGATTAGTACACCTGAGAAAATATCGTGAGATCGCATGCAGAGCGTAGAGTAAAAATATCGTCGCCAGATAAGTTGGCACAGTTGTAATCACAAAGGCAAAAATGTGGATCGACAGTGTGACCACTTTAAACAAAAATGAAATTTTTTTTTTGCTATAAATTGTTAAACGCTGCACAGTATAATCCTTATTAAGTATGCAGATCAATAGATAAGTTTGAATTTCACATCATAATAATATTATAACTGTCAAGTCGTGTGTTTTGTATCACATGGTTGTAGTGGCAAAACAAATTGAAAATATGTACCAGAGAAATATGTAATTGTGTCATTTTGGTCACACTGCGACTCGCCTTTTCGCTTATTTTAAAATATTCTTCTTATTGCGACCCTCTGATGCAGAGTACTTCTGAACACCTAAAAAAGTTCGAAATAGATAAACGAGGTGTTTATTTTTAAAATCAGCTAAAGAACGATTCTAAAAAAATGATTTTTCTAAGTGACCACACTGTTTACACATAATGTGTAAGAATATTTACCATAAAACCAGTCCATAGTTAATATAAATTATGTTGGAAAATTGTGGTTGGTTTCAAAATCAACCATTTTACGAAATCTAGGTTTCAATAATAACTATAAAACAAATTTGATAATAAAACCAACAGCAACGCAATAAAAAAATGTATTGTAATTTTGATACCAACCACAATTTTCCCTTTATACTGGTTTTTATTTGGACAATTGAGTCACACAACATATCCAGTCAGTTGTCTATATAATCGCAATATAGTTTGTTAAGATGATAGTTATTATTAAATCAGTTAGTCGCCTATCGGACTTGTAATTTCTTTTCAAATAACCAACTGATCCATTTAAATAGTTAATTGGAAAAATTGTATCAAATAACACTATTAACCTCCTAAATTAAACATAAAACCAATAATACGGTCACGGACAAGTGCTTTTTCTGTAATATTTCTGTGTACTATTTCATTAAACAACGTGTGCTCATAGTGCGGAAAGACGATAACAACGAAATTGATAAAAGCGGACTTGTCCCCTTTGTGCTGTTAGCAGAACTCATGATATATTATTGTTTTGTACACTTTAGGTTGTTCGTTCGAGTGGATAACCTGGACGGGTTGGCGCCCAAAGGCAAAGACAAACGACCGTATAAAACAACGTTGAAACTCACGTTGTTGCCACAAGAAAAAATTTCGAAAACCAGCAAAACCATAAGCGCCGCCATGAGCCCGGTGGTGAACGAAGATTTCTTCTTGAGCACCAAGTCCATAAGCAATAAAGTTCTAAGGTACAAGCATTGCTAAGTACATAGGTAGAAGGTGCCGGATTTGTAGATTTTTTTTTTTAAATTTTAATAAATTATTTTTTTTTTTTAGAATTTCGGTGTTCGACCATGAACATCAAGGGAAATACGACGCGGTCGGCCATGCTTTGTATTTTCTCGACGACTTAACGCTAAGTGACGACGGAGCCCAGACCGTGAAACTCTATAAAAACTCATGGGTTAGTCAGATTACTGTTTATTATTAGTGTACCGGTGTATTGTAAATGTATGCTATGTCATTTTATTGTTTTTTATCTTTTGAACCCCGTGGTGTGTTAAAAGGAACAGTGGGAGACATATAATGGTGTCCACCCACTTCTAATCCTAGCTGAACATTTCTCACGATTCGCCTGATAGTTAATAATAAGGATAAGTGATAAGAGATAAGGAAGCGTGATAACGAAAGACGATAATAGATAAAGGTTGATAAGAGATAAGGATAGGTAAACAATGAAACTTATTTTAATCATATATATTGAAAAGTGTTTTGTACATTTTTAACTTAACCCCAGCCATAAAATAGTGGAATTATGTTTCTTTGTAGTTGACATAGTTATAATGGAGATAACCCGGAAAACCTAATATTTTTAGATACAGAAAAATAAACAATGAAAACAAATAGAGTGACATACATTTATGGCACACTTTTTGAGGAAATCTCTATTTATTTTTAATGTTTTTACACAGCCAGATCTAAACAATTCCAGTTTGCGCATCACATTAACGTACAAAAAAGAACGAGAAACGTTGCACGTGGTCGTGCATGAAGCTAGCAATTTAATATTACCTCACGGTCAGTAAAATAAGTAATGACTTACAGATTTATCACAAATGTATGTCAGGTCTCCGTGTTGTTTAAAATGTCTACTATCTACAGGTTATTATTTTAGTGTGTATTCCAAAGTGATATCTCATAATTTCAGTTATAATAATATCCGAAAACTTGCTTTACCCGCTTTATCGATGAAAAAATAGATAAAATTATTTGTCCACAATCTTCACGATTTTTTTAAAAAATTAACGAAGTACAAATGGTACAAAATACTAAATTAAAAAATTAACAAAGTCAATCAAGTAATTTTTTTAAACCTGTGAAAACTCCTGAAGATATGCTTTTGTGTTACCTATTACAGTCTCTATGGAAATCTGCTGTATAGCTATTGTCATATTTTGATTTCTCATTTTCCATCCGCCATTGTGATAGCACAGTTTTCTTATCACCCCGATAACATACTTTACACTCGTTATCAGTAAACGCGGTATTTCGAAAGTAGTTAAACTTTGTCTAGTTCATCAAAATTTTTACTCGCCTATATTGTTCTTCTTTTACATTTTAAAACAACTTTTAAGCCTGATATTTAATACACTTTCCATGTCTACGAGGGAAAAATTCATAATGTCGTAGTGATTTTACAAAAAGTTGTATTTTTACTAATAATTTTAGAGTAATTAGGGTAACATTATGAAAAAAATAATAATGTAACAAAATGTTTTAATTTCAAAATTAACAATGTCGGTGCAAAACAACTTTGACCAAAACTAACCCTAGTTAACCCCGTTTCGAATTTCTAAACAAATAAATTACATATTAACAACAATCGTTGCCTGTTGTCCTCAGAGAAATCCAGGACTTTTGTTAAAATCGTCCATTTCAACAAGGGCAAACGTCTCAAGGAATACCAGTCGCCGTCGGTGCCCAACACCAGAATGGACCCTGACGCTACTTATGAGTTTGCCGCAGACATACGGATGGACATGAACATGGCCACCAACGGGTACTTGGTGATAGGGTTGAAAGAAAAAGGATTTTTGAAAAGGAACGAGAGCAATTTGGGCAGAGTGATATTCGGACCGTTTTTGTACACCGAGAGGGGTTATGACCTGTCGCCTTGGGGCAAAGCGATATTGACTAGGGAGGGCGTTTCCGACACTTTCAGATTGTATCTTTGAATAATAATAATTATGAACAAAATTGAAAATTGAAAAAAAAAACTACCTATCTATTTTATAATATAATATTATATTCTCCTTTGCGTTTACCATTGTCTGTTTTGGTTTTATTCGCTATGTGTATTATTAAATTACTACCTTGGGTTCCTCGAATAATGTGTATGTTTATATTTTTATTACTAAAAAAAAAAAAAAAAGTAAAAATACGCGCCATTATTAAAATAAGTATAATGGTTTATTTTTCTCTCTTGAATACCGAGCAAGTCACAAAAAGGCCAAATGCTCAGAGTAGATATAGTTTTGTATAGACTAAAGATTTCTTTAAGAAGGTCGTCCCTGCTTAATAACACTACACTAGCAACAAGAACTAAAATACAATTATTTTTTGGATATTTTCCCTAGCACGTCTAGTGATTTTTTTAATAGCCCATAAATTAGTAAAGCAAAAAAATAGTACCGTTTTGTGGTATTTTTTTAGCGTTTTTTTATTTGCTGTTTAGGTGCTTTTTTTTTTGTTTAACTCAAATAGAAATTGAAAATAATTCGTTTATCAAATCAGACCAGTTTTACCGAAACGGTTTCGGTTAATTTCCATTAAATTGCATACCTAAGTTAAACAAAAATACTTGTCAACTATATTATAAGGTCTAATTAGGGTAGTTGGGGTGTTAGTTTGATAAACGAATCAATACGGCTTCGTGCCCGACATCGACTATGGTTGTGCAAATTTCTCTCAGACCAATTGGAGTGACAACCTAACAGCTAACTATAATAATCTATGCAACACATTAAGCTGGAAGACACATTAATTATTTACCTTTTTGCTTTTAGATTACCCGTGGATGTACACACTTAACTGCCTATCAAACATTAATCGCCATAAAACCTTTGCCGACGGCTAATCGAGGTTATATTTAATTCATTATGACGATCATCCCCTATTTTCCTCTTAGACTGCTACTGTACTCGAATGGGTATTACACAAACGAAATTTTAGTTAATCATATTTATAAATATATAATATATATATATATATATATATATAGTAATAACAATAATTTATAATCATATTCACAACTCACAAGTAGACTTATGTGGTAATTTCCAATTTTTTTTTTTGGTTTACTTATTTTGTATTCATATAAAACAGGCCACGTACTGAGTTTCAAGTTTTTAAACCCATAATAATTTTCAAAATCCACACTTTTATTGTTTAAGTCACTTTTTGGTTAATTTCGTTATAATGTTTGTCTACATATTTTTTTTTTTTTACACATACATTATAGGTATAATAACATGGGTTACCACTATAACATAATTTTGGGAGGTTCTTGAGAAGGTATTACCGGTTATTCGGCGCCATCTCCTTCAGTTTGGATAATAGACATAAAATACCTTTCATCTGCAGGATTACAGTCTATATTAGAAGGTCACGGGTTTGATGAAAACAATAGAAAAAAAAACAATGCCGCTTTATTTTTTACTAATTTGTTTTGTTTTTATTTCTACGGTTGCATTCGCAATATAATAAGTCTACGAGAAAATGAAAAGGTTAAAAAAAATATTAAATGTATTTATTTTTTTGTGTGTAAACCTAATTTAAAATGATCGGCTAAAGAAAATCGGTCATTCGGATAACTATTTTTCAATTTAGAAATCCAAATGTCCAATAAACAACTTTGCCAAAATTTGTTAAAAATAAAACATTAATTTATTATATTAAATACTAAATAGCAAGCAGAGCTTTGCATCATTCGAATAAAAAGGTATTTAGAGAATAAATTCTTTAAGTAAAAATTATTCGAATGGCTTTCAAACGTTTTGAAGTGCAGTTTTCAACTATTTTTTTTTTTAACATTATATCTTATGAATATAATATTAGTTATAACATAAAAGTATAAATAAAAAAATTAGAAAATATTATTACTATTAAATTATACTAGAGTAGTATGATTATTTATTATTTTCAATGAGAAAAAATTGGAAAATGTTATTCAAATAAAAAAACTAAAAATTTACTAAACGATTTTTTATATGAAGCAATTTTTTTTTTTTGATAATTTGTACAACTCTGATAGCAAGTAAAAAAAAGGCCTAACAATAGGTTGAAAATTATTAAATATACTTCTTATTCATAATTAATAACGCCTATTTTAATATTGTCTTGTTAATACTATGTAATATTGTAGATATTAAAGTTACATTTTAAATTTTGCAACAATTTTTGAGAGGGTTTAAAAGGTGTTTGGGGAGGAGGGGTTAGGTTGCTAAGCCTAAGGACTGTATTTGCATACAACTGGTTTCTCTTCTATCTGGACAAGCTCTTTATTTCGACATAACATGACATATCTGTTGCCTCGAATTTGGCCACTTTTTAAGCAATAGCTCAAGTTTGGTCAGAAACAATATTTACTGCATAGTAAGTATTTATAAGTACACTCGGGTGACAGTTACAACGAATCGTCTGAGACAAGGGCCCGTTTACATAGTATGATTTAAAAAAAAAAACTGTCATGTCAATGCCAAACGATTGCCGTATTGTTTATTACCGTTGACAAAATAAAAAAAAAAACGTTCATTTTTTATTTTTTAAGCATTGTACTACAGTCGACCTTATGCCCTTGAAATTTCTTTACACAACAAAATAGTTTTTTTTTCGTCGCTGATATCGCTTAACTATTTTTTTTTTTATTAAAAATGTATTAGGCTTTTTATTTTCATATTAGTTATGCGATGATTATTAAATGCACAATGGCAGATGACTTGATTTGAACACAGTGTTCGTTGAAAAAACTCAATGGGTCTTAGACTTAAATTTTGATTTTTTTTTTTTTTAATTATTTCCAACAAAACTGTTATATTATAAATATTTTGTTCTCAAAGCATGCTCATGTGAATGGCGATAGATTCATTAAGCTGATGAATTTTGACTGTTGAAGTCGGGTTGTACGTTTGTTATTAAAATATGTCTACCAAATGGTCAAAACGTCGACCGACTACGGCCATTGTTTCTCAGCTTGTTGATTAATTGTTTTGGAAATAATTATTGTTCGCTTTCGGTTAGGAGTAGTACAAAAATAGTATTACTTCTCGTGATATTATTATATATTATTGTGTGCACATTGTTGTTGTAAGTGATGACGGGTCGTTTGGTGCGTTGAAATTAATAGAAGACGCCATTGCCTTGTCAGAGGGGCTGTAGGTGTTTAGCTTAATCCCAAGCAGCGAGTTGGGTTGATAGAAAATAAAACCACTCCTTTTTACCAACGTTTATCATCAAAATTTCAAAGTAGGCCCACAGAAAACTCGTTTGTCTTGGTATTGTTTCATTTTGAAAAGATTATTATTATGATAATAATTATTTAAGGTATATAATGCACTTGTGGAGTATTTGATAAAATATTATTGTTTTTTTTTTTAAATTTTTATATCGAATGCTGTTTTTTCGGATTTTCTATACTCTGTAAGAACGTTTTTATATAATTAGTTTGTATATGTGTGTATATACAATCGAATTATACTGTTCCTTGTCGTAGCTGATATATTACCATAATATATAATATTATAATTGCTATGGCAACAAACACAATATTATATTATCTAACAAACAGTTGTATCCAGCGAACGTTGTGCGATTGCCTAAAAAGCCCTAAGGTAACAAGACTGCGATGCTTAATAATGATAATAATATAACAATTACAGCTGCTGTAGTTGTAAATTTATTCGAAAAATTTAACTTGTCGATGATTTATACTGTAAAATTATTACTATTACAGCTTATACAGTACCAATAATTGTGATAGCACAAAAAGTATTGGCCAAAATAAACCAACGCGGTTTCAAAAATTTGCAAACGCAAAACAGCTATTATAAGTAGTCGTTTCGAAGAAATATGCCGTATACTCACACTGTCGTATGTATATTATATTATATTAAATATTGATGTTTATATTTTATATTAAATTACTACTTTATTTAATTATTATTATGATATTATTTTACTTGTTTATTATCAGTTGAGATGTTTAAACATAAATATATGGTCAAAATTTGTCCGGTTAAGACATTTTTTTATGCTTTATTTATTTTTTGTAATTTATAATTTGCTTACTCGTTTAGTCAACTTGATAACGCTACTCATTTACATATTAATTCGAATTAGTATCTTAATTTGTTTACTCAATTCGGTAACTAGATTTATTTGCTAGGTTTTGTTTTTACTCGTTTACTCAAAGTATTTACTAGCTTATTCGATTTTTTTACTTGTTTACTCGTTTACCAGATTAATTTACTCGATTTATTTTTCATTAATTTTGATTACTCGGTTACTCAATTAATTTACTCGTTAACCGGATCTTTTTACTCGATTTGGTTACTAAAATTTGTTTAATCATTTACTCGACCTGTTTATATGATTTATTTATTTGCTAATTTTTTTTTTCGACGTTTTTACTTAATTTGCTTGATTTGCTTACTTCTAAACTCAATTTATTCACTCGGTTTGCTTACTCGTTTCTCAACAAAGAAAAACATTTGAATCGTGTAAAACGTTAAGATTAAGAATGGACCGGTGCTTTAAACAGTTCAAAGCATAATAGTCTTGATGCATGTGTTATCTTTCTCAAAGTGGAGAAAATTGTCTTTTTGTTTTAATATAATTTCAATGCGTGCAATCAAACAGGCATACGATTAGTTATTGACAAATAAATTATAATATCGATTATGTTCGAGACATTGTTGTGTCAATAAATGTGTATTTTATGGCATTTATTTTTAAGTTTGATTTCATATTATATTTTTATAACTATTTGAATGCTGCTATACTAGTCGTGCATTTCACAGGCAGGAAAATTGGGAATATCCTTTGTACACATATTTTTTCACGACGACGAAAATGATAATTTTTACTAATTAAAAAAAAATCGTTTTTACTTTTTTAGGTGGGCAAAAAACCGGATAACTATAAGATTCCCAATCGCGATATGGAACGACGGCGAATGCAACGATCTAGAATAAGAACCGGAGACGATTTCGAATGTTTAATACAGCAGAAACAATTGTTGGAAACGGCAGATAAGAAAAGCGTTTACAATCGGATCAGAAAGTTGGTCGAATGCGAAATGAAAGCCAACGAACATTTATTTACCGAACAACCGAAGTCGAAGTAAGTAAACTATAAGTTTCCCAGTGTCAACCGAATTGTCCTACACCCTCGAGGGTAAAGTAAAAAAAAAAAAAAAAAAATGGTCCGTTACAATAATAGGGTCCGCTTAGGGAATATTTATTATCTGTCTGTGTTGATAATAAAAAAAAATAACAAATCAAACACCAATACAATTTAATGTGCACAGACTAGCGACGAGTCGGACAAAACCGCTAAATACATATTTTAACACCGGTAAATACACATTAGTAAAAGGATACAGTCCTTGAGTTGTTAAAGGGTAGTGGGGGTAAGTACAATATATTTTCTCTAGATCTTAACTTTAAGTGGAAACCAAAATGTATATTAATACATCTATCACTAGTACAGCCACGGCGATTCTCTTTGTTGGTAATTAATTTTGGATTTTCGACAATCAAATTGGTTTTTACCGAAATTTCATGAATACAAACGTATATTTTATGTAACGTAAATGGCTCTAACTTTGCTAGAAATACTATTTTGGAAATCCGCCAACGCGCAGCCCTCACAAATTAGATATATCTTTAGATTTGAAAATGGATGGTCTGTGTTTAAAACTAAGCTAAAATCTATAAGAGTTTATTTTCACATAAAAATCCGTACGCCTAACGTCCTCGTAAAAATCGATTGTATAAATTTAACTAACGCGTGGGCTCGATTTAAGAAATTACATAATATTATGTAAGTTTGGGCCGGCTCTAGTTGCGGAGTGGTTCGTTTTATGTAATTTCTTAAAGCAGTTTGCAAACGTTTGTAAAAAACTTTATAATGATCAATATATTTTAATGATCGCATTAATGCACCCGAAACATGCAAAAGGGCGGCCGCCTTTAATAACTTCAAAACTTAAGTTTGTCAAGTGTAAAAAAACTTTAGCCGGATCCGGTGTTGATAAACTACTCGGGGAAAAAAAGTAGTCAAAAAAAATAAAAATTATCAAGTACCGTACAATAATATTGTTATTTACCTATTTTAGCGACATGAAATTAAGAGATTCAATTAAAAAATCAGTATTTTATATTACTTAACTATACATTCAAGTAAGTATGGAGTGCCTGTTAGTCGAATTCAATGTAATATTTTGCGGTGTAATTTTGTTCGTAAGTGGTGTTCTGTAATGTTTCGGTGAATTTTGGTGGGTTAAAAAAAAAACTAGTACTATCTCTAAAGAATATTCCATACAAAATTGGAATTCCATTTTCATACACTGCGGAAATAGAATAATATATAAATAAAATCATTTATAATAAATATAAAAAATATTTATTTATTTACATTATAGAAGTAAGTACCGTTAGGTACATGTTAGAATGAACCGTTTGACTAACTTTATTCAAGTAGATAAGTTAAGTGAACTTGTCCACAATTTTGGAAGACAAAGTTCTATTATTATTATTAATTAATTCATTTAATATTAAAACCGGAAGCTATATTTTTTCGGTTTTAGTTTTAGTCTGATATTTGATTTTATGAAAGTTTTTCAATTGGTGTTAGAATAGAAAAAAAACTGTCCATTCGAATGTCTCTTTAAATAATACTATCGTGGGCTACATTGAAATAATTTTTCACATTTTAATTAGTAATCTTTTATTGTCAAAGTTTACTTACTTTAGCCATAATGTAATAAATGATCATAAAAAACAACGTTCCATCGCCAACGACCATACCACGTTGAATACACCAGTTCTCGTCCGATCACTGAAGTTAAGCAACGTCGGGCGTAGTTAGTACTTGGATGGGTGACCGCTTGGGAACACTACGTGCCGTTGGCATTTTTTTTTTCAGCTTTTCGATTCGGAAATCGGATCTGATAAGGTCATGCTTTTACAATAAAGAGTTTTTATCTTTTTGTCTGCCCCACGATATCACTTCTGTAGATCAGCAACCGTACTAAGAAAGTACCTACTTATTGTGGGGCCAAAGCAATTATGTATACTTAATATCATACACAGATTACAATATGTACATACATGTACACGGAAAATACAAGAAAAACAATAAATAAAATAAGAAAACAAATTTTCTTCTTAATGTTAGGCTTAAAAATGTTTTAACAGCATCACCGTTTAGCTAAGTGACGAGAATCCGTAAATCCGGATTTTTCAAAAAAACGCTATTAAGGCCACTTGAAAATCTTATAAATACAAAATTAAATACTATTACTATATAAAGATGTTTACCAAGAACATTTTTTTGATAAAAGTTAAAAAAAAAACTCAACTTTGTCTATAAAATGCTTTCGGATTTTCGGATTTCAACAAATCCAAAAGCAGTTTATCTTTTTGGTGTTTTGTTTTATTTTTACATATTTATCAAAAACATTTCACTTAGGTACATAGCTTTATATTGTAAAATTATTTAACACTTATATGATTTTTAAGTAGCTTAAATAGCTATATAGCTATTTTTATAGCGTTTTTTTTTTTTGAAATCCGGATTTTCGGATTCCCATCACTAGTTTAGCTATAATATTTAACAGACATTTTAACAAGATTAATGTTTATTGCAAACACTAGAAGTGTAGTCGATCGGTGGTTTATTGATGTACACTGGATTTGGTAATCTGCAGCTTGTCACTTGCTGGTAGGTGTAGGTATAATTCCTAAGGTTGTTTTCAATAGATAGGTACATTTTTTATTCTTCATCCAAAGTCTCTATTTAGTCGCTACTAGCCCAATGCTGTTAATTGTTAAGCCAAATATAAATAATGGTCAGTTGATTCTCCAATTGCTCCGACAGTCTTATTTTATATGCTTTGTTATTGTGGCGAATTAAAGTTTTAAATTAGTTTTCTTGTATTTTATTCAATGACGTTTCGATGGCCTAATAGCTTTTGTTTTGTTATTCAACTTGGACTGAACTGTTGCAGTGGCTTTGCTGTCTAATTATAAAATGTTTCTGACTTTTCGGAAGTGGTACTTATGACTTGTGCAGGCTTTATTTCACTGTTGTCGGCAAACCAATTAGCAGCCGTGGTCTGTATAGTCGTGTGCCGACAGCGGTCTCAGAGTTTTGATGAGCTTTTTGTGATTATTAAATTGAGAAAAAAAAAATATCGTTCTAGCCTCATACACGGCTCGCTATTATTCTAACCAGAAACCGTACCTATTTAAATTTTCTGAAATACGTTTCAATCATTGAGTAAAAGAGCTGTATCATCATAATATAATGTCCTGTACTTAGCAACGAAGCAACAAAAAAGACGAGCGCCAGTGTGACCATTTAAAATTAAAATAAATAATTTTTTTATTATTGGTTGTTAAATACTACACAGTATAATCATTATCAACCAACAGACATTAGATAAATTTGAATTTCCTATGATAATATAATAACCGACGTCAAATTTGTTGTATCACTTGGTTGTTTTTTGCATACTAAACCATATTTTTAGGCTTTCACTGGGACACTTTAATTAAATTTTATTTACTGGAAAACATAATTAAAATCATAATACTTGGGATACATTTGTAGATCCGAACCGATTGTAGAAGTAGTACAACAGCAGCCGGATAATCCAGTTGAAGATGTCAAGGCAAAGGCCGACATCTTGAAAAAACAACAGGAAGAGGAAGAACAACAAATCGTGGAAGAAAAACGATTACAAATGTTTATGTGAGCTATAAAACTATACTACTGTAGTGTATTTTAATAATTGCTAAATTTAAGTTTTCTGGTAGTACCTTATAGACATAAAGTAAGTAAACATATGATATAGAGCCCTTCATTAAATCATGCATTGTACTAAACAACAAAGTGATCATCAAGTAGGCGAGCAACAGTGTGACCACTTTAAATAAAAAAATTAAAATACTTTTTTTATATGTTGTAAAATACTGCACAGATATAATCTTTATCAACTATACAAATCAATACATAAATTCGAATTTCACATGATAATGGTATAATATTATAACTGACAAATCATATGTATTGTATCACATGGTTGGAGTAGTGAAACAATATTTAAAAATATGTATTAGAGAAATGTAATTTCATCATTCTGGTCACACTGCGGCTCACCTTTCGCTTTATAATATTCTACTTATTGTGAGTTGTGACCTCCTGTATGGATCCACAAGCTCCTAAGTTTATCTAGAGCACAATTGAATATTAGTTTAGATACATGATATTCGAGAAATATACTTAACATTAATGTTGTTATTATTTATATATTCCTCTGCGAAGATAACATAAATCAGTGACAAACTAACAAGGTGTATTAATATTTGAGTTGAACGTTGATCCAAGTCTTATGAATTTACCATAAACTTTGCCGGTAGTTTACAAGATGCTAAGCTAGAGGTTATGAAAATTCCCACACTTGATGGTATACCATATGTAAAGTTTCCAAAAATTAAACCATTTAATATTTCAGTGAAAATTCCGATGAGTTGAGGTCGGCAGCGACGGCCAAACGGAAGAAAGAGATTTCGAATGACAATTACACGATTATTTTAGAAAAACAAAGGCTCGCTAAAGAACAAAAGACCAAGAAAAAAGAAATGGACAACGCAAATCATTTGGAAACAATTCGACAACAAGTGAGAATGATTTTTTTTTTTTTTATAAAATTCCATATAATGCGTGAAAACGGTGTCAAGTGGAATTGACGAATGGTGGTTTTTTTTTTGTCGAGGCTGCCGATAAAGAAGCGAAAAGGCAAAAAGAGTTGGAAAAGAAATTAAAATTAAAAAACGAATTGACAGATCAAATGAAACAGAAAGAAATCACCCGAAAACAGCAACAAGAGTGGGCAAGAAACGACCAAGAGGAATTGAAAGTAATGATAGAAAAATTGACAGAAAAAGAGCAAAACGGTTAGTGTTGACAAAATTGTATAGTACATATTATTTTATACACATGTTTGCAGTCGGAGTTTGGTAAAATGTAAAACAAATCGAGTAACATAATAATTGAAATAAAAAGATTATGTCTTAATCGAATAAATTAAAATGTAATAAAATAATAACCAATTTTGCACAAAAAAAAATGGTAATTATTTCATTTACATTTTAATTATTCAAATATTTGTGTATTATGATAACACAATTGGCCAACTTAACGACACGGACACAGTGATGGATTCAATTCAAAATTGTCTAATCGCTAGAGATTTTATTTACCACATCCAAGTATTTACAATGTTTGTAAAGTTGATCCATAATTATTCTGAGAAGCTCTAATATAAGAAATACAACTTTTAGAAAATCAAATTCAGAAGTATCACACGCTAATGAAATACCTATACTTTGTTACATACAAATATAATCCGTTAAGAATTAAAATTAATATTACTATATGATATTTTATTATTGGCGCAACTACAGGGGGTGCTAGGTAAGTTCCAATCCTTCTAAACTCGTTTAGGCTCTAAAAAAATGTCAGCAATCAAACAGACATAGCCCCAAAGTAAGGTTGAACTGTACTGTTTTTTTTTTTTAATTTAAAACGAATAATACACTATTCGAATCTCGTTTAACTAGCTGCTCGTAGTGAATATATGTACGGTTATATTATTATCATATAGAAAAAAAGGACCAAATGAAGAAATATGCCGAAAGAGCGGAGGAAATGAAACGGTTTGTCAGGAATAGATTGAATGTACCGTTAAAAAAGGATCTTGAACACCTTGTTGACGATGGTCCGTTTGCATTGACCGTACAGAAAACCGTGCAAGGAGACAGCGAAGAAGAAATGGACGCAAAGGTTAGATTGACTTTCCAACCAGATTCCGTCACAGATTAGATAGAACCAATAGGTGCACACCCTATTAAAGCAATGTAGTTGCCAAAAAATATTGTGAACCGACCAAAACTTCCAAAACTTCCAACCTAACCGTCTGGTCTTATCTAACCTGTGCTGTTATTTTATACTCTGTCCAACGAGAGAATGGTGCTGCGCAGAAACCGAAAAGCGTCACTCCTGTCTGCGCTGGCGCACAAGAGAGTGATGCGTTTTGGTTACTGCGCAGTACCGTTCTCTCGCGAGACAGCTGAGCGGTAGGTGTGTTTTTCCGGCGTTTGGGAATTAATTTACAAAATATTTCTAAGATGCGACTGAAACGTGAAAACGAGCTATTCGCGAGACACCAAGCGACCATTAGGAAAGAACGGCAAAGGCAAAACGAAGAAATGTCGAAAATAGTCTCAAAGCAGATGGACGATATCGAAGAAATGAAGCGATTAATCGCCCAAAAATCGGACAGAGCCCGTAGGGAACGCTTAGAAGTAAATTGTATACTATATTATAATATTATACTATCACATAATAATTGAGCGCCCCGACCTTTGTTTACAACAAATTAAACTCCAAAAATACAATAAAAAACTCCCTAAATTAATGAATCTATTTGTGTATTAATATGTATTTTTTATGTTTAAACGGCTAGACATATTTCTTAACAATCACAATTATGCAAAACCGGCCAAGGTTTTTTTGTTTTAACCCAATTGAAGATAAGGTTAGTTAAATAAAAAAAGTTTCTTGGTCGAGTTGTCAATAAAATGGTTTGTATAATTTAAATACTATAAAAAATCTCTATTTAATCTCACAAAAAATAAGCAATGGGTTTGACTTGCCCAACTTAAATTTGTTCAATCAAAGTCAACATAAATTATAAAAGTCATGATTTTAATTTACAATTTATACCGCCACAAGAAGTTTATATTTTGTACCGCGTTGATTTTTAAAACCTTTTTATTTGCTGTTGAACAAAACTTTTTTTGTTTCTTAAATGTGTGTGAATGTGTGGCTTTTTTTACTTTAGTAGTTTGTTTTTAACGTTTTTTATATATCGAAGTGAATCAATCGAATAAAACATATTTTGGCAACTTGAATTTAATGATTTTTTGCTCCTGTGCGAATAATGATTTACAACAATTGGTTGTCAACTATAGTGTAATAAACATACAGGGTCATTCATTAAGGACGAGACATTTTTTTTCTCTTAAAATAATCGCAATTTTGTAGTTTATATTTTTTAAAACATTAAATATTGTGAAATAACATAAATACAAATATTTTTAAAATAAAAATCTATAAAAGTGCAATTATCTTAAGTAAAACTTAGCGTCTTATCCTTAATGAATCACCCTGAATATGACAACAAAAAACTGTCTTAAAATAATAAATTATGGGTCTGAAAGGGATAGCATTATAATTGGCGCTAAAAATAAAATAGCGTACTCAGAGCAAACGATTAAACATTTGTAATAAAAATAAATAATTATTTAAACACAACCATTTTCTTACTTTTTATACCTAAATTATAACGTTGTGTACGAATTGGTCATAAATAAATAATTTTTTTAAAATAACATTTATAATGAATAACTACAAAAAGCGAATATTTTGTTTAAAAAATGAGCGTCTTATCCTCAATGAATCACAATGGAAGTTAAAAATTAATTAGTTTTGTTTTCAATGAGGTTTGTTTTATTTTAGGAAAGTAATAGAATTTTAAGGGAACAGTTGGAATCAAGAAAACAGTACCTTGACCGACAAAAAGAAGAAAAACGCAAATCGTACGAGCAGTCGACGAGAGACAACGAAAATTATTTAAAAGACAAGAAACAACAATGGGAAAAAGAAATGAAATTGAAATGGCAGATCAGAAAAGACTTGACCGATCAAATGGAATTCAGAAAAACCATAATCGTAAGTATGAGAAACACATTGAAACATTCGGAAAAAACACATTCGAATCATTTATAGTAAACGTAGAGCTGTTTAATTTTTTATACGAGTTTAAAATTAAAAAAAATCTACATTAATCAATTCAAAACGCTTGTCTTGCGCGGTTGGAATTTGGAACATGCGACATGTGCATTCTATTCTTTATTGGGGTTAAGTTACACATTGTGACAAACGTACACTTCATTAATTAAACGTATTTACTACTTTGAAAGATGAAAAAAAAAAAAAAATACTGGCTTATTAGTTAATGTATTTTTAGACCGACGATTGTGTGTCTTTTTTTCATTTGGGTTTTATCAAGCAGTCTTTATCCGTTTAGTGATATGTGATATGTCTGCTTTAACAGTAGCCAACCACGTTTTATTGTGAAGTTTTCCTCTGTTGTTTGCCAACAAACATCTTTGTTGTACAAACGCAGTTTTCGCGATAAAAACATAATTTTATTTTAGGAAAATCAACGAAAGGCCGATTTGGAAAATCACGAGAAGCGTTTGGTGGAAATTAAAAAACAAGAAGATTTACTTAAAACTCTTTTGGATGATTTGAAGTCGAATAATTAATCAATCTTTTTTTTAAATTTATCACATACAGTTGGTTAGTATATAATTATTATTATTTTTGTAGCGTATTTAGTTCATACAAGTTATTAAGTCTGCTATTAATTAAAATTTGTATAAAACAAATTATATAGTACAAGTATGTATAAGCCAATTTAAATTTTGGATGTTTAACAAATATTTTTAGTGAATTAAGTTTTAGGAATTTTATTTCAAACCACGATGGACAAATTTTGTTCCATGGTGACCAAACTTACCTATTTTTAAGCTCATGTAATGGCGTGATTTTTTGTTGACAGTAAAATTAGTTAAAATATTGTAACTCAAGCATTAAACAAATATGATAACTTGTATTGTTTTTATTATTTGTCTCATATATTTAAACACTTAAACATTTTAATTCTGTACTGTTGCCATTTCAAGGGCGTAACATATTTAATAAATATTAATGTATAGCTAATATAAATATATAATATATTATGGTATCTTCAACGCAAAAACGTTGACTTAACAGCATCCAAAATCGTAAAAATGTTTAGTTATTGTCGCTTAGGAAGATAGCCATAATTTTGTTGAGTGTTTATTATTTATTTAAAAATATAATTATTATGAAATTTGTGTGTATATATTTTTGTTTACTGTAAACTTTCTAGTCTCGATTTTGGCTCATGGTACGGCCTTGAAATTACAGTATAAATTATAAGCAAGTGACATTGATTTATTATCTACATAAAAACACAAATCCACTGGAAATATTATTCTTTTTCAAGTAAAGGAGAAATTATTTTTGTTTATCTTTAACTATTCTCTGTCATTCTTCTGGTAAGATCCCGTTACCGTTTTGTCTTTGATATAACCAAACAGCTATGAACAACATTTCGGCCAAGATCAATGTTGATTTATTTTTAAAATTGTTTTTTCATAAGAAATGATCAAACATTAATTTCGTGTTTAAACAATACTCGGATTGGCATTTTTTACAAGAGTTAAAACAAGACAAATTCTTTGGATAACCAATCGTTATTGACAGTAATTCATAAAACAATATTTTTGTATAATAAACAATGATGGCATATTCATTCGTAGATTTTAAAACGGTTTGGTACTTTTTACAAATGTATTCAGGTGCACAGTTTTGCGTTGACGTTGTTTGGTAATTGCGATGACTTTCGCTTTCTGAGACTTATAGTACCTACTGTAGTGAAACTGCACTATGCAATTACAGTACAAAAGTCTTGTTTGCTTTCAGTCTTGAATTCAGTGCAGAACCGAACACCTGGACACTTATGTAAATATTGTAAATTTGTAGAACACAAGCAGGTACATAAATACACATGTACCGAACATATTATATTGTCTGTCACAGACAATCTGTGATAAGCATATTTAAACGGTTAATGCAGACACCGTGACATCACTAGAATACTATTTACCGGTACATTATAAATTTACATGTAACTTTGTACATGTGGTAATAATTGCAGTTACCGTCATTTGGACGCAAGCAAAATTAACGACACCTATTTTGCACCATAATTAAGACTTTTTAATTTTAAACGAAAAAATGTTATAACTTATTTTCTTTACAAAATATTCTTTCTGTTGAAAACTAACTATTGTAAAATACATAAATCCTTCGTTAAGATAAAAAGAAGCATGTTAATCATAGCGTTATTTGATTTTTTCAGTTTATAAAAATACAGCACTTAAAATTGAAAAAAAAGGTATCTTATATGTATGTCATTACATTTTTAGTTAAAAACAATATAATGGAAATGCTAGCTGTTCGATTGAAAATGCACTCTTTAATTACAGCGCTAACGTCATTTCAGTCTTAAAATTGCAAAACCAACGTATTACTGTCAATGCAGAACCGAGCAGCTGTGTTGGATACTATCTTAAAAATATATAGTAACTTTGTAAACACACAAATAAATAAGTATAATCATGAAAATATCTTAAATAAAAACATTTCGTTTGATTTTTTTTGATTGTGTTTAGGGACCAGGTATTAAATCGTTTTCTTTATGTGACAAGACTATAGATAGAAATCGTACCCGAAAGGCATTCTATAAGGCCAAAAATGTAGATAGTTTACACGCTAACTTCAAAGAAATCGAAATAAACACAACATTTATTCAACTTCAAATTACAAAACGCTATAACTTTTTTAAAAATATTCAAAGTGCTTCCAAGCGTGTGTGGCATATTCGTTAGATATAGTATTACCGTTTTAAGGAAAAAAAAAAAAAAAAAAAACAAGAAAACATCATAAACCTTTTACCACACTCCCTCGAAAAGGGATAACAACTTTTTCTTTACATGGTTTTATGACTCAAGGATCGAAAATTAATCTAGCGTAACTACTAACTAATACAAACCACATTTGCAATAATCTGTGGTAAAATTGAATTTGTATTTTTAAAAAACCTAATTACAATAGTACATTAACTCTTATAAAATGAAATATTGTAACTTGTTGATATTTGAGGTGATTAAAGCTATACTGATTACCTTGTTAAGCTAACCTTGTTTGTCTCTAGTTAAGATTAATGTGACTTACATCACTATGGTTTTATCCCCTTCATTTACTTATTGTGATTTTGGTTAATTATTATTATTAGTTTGTACTAAAAATAAATAATAGATGTTAAATTTAACGTAAAACGCTTTTTAATTTTTGGAAATAATAAAAATGTTGCAATTTTTTTTTATTTCTCACTTTATTGTCGATAACGGTGGCCAAAAAAATATAACAACTTATTATCTATACAATATGCCTCTACCATTCGAAAGGGAAGTATTTGGGGTCAGTTTTGCAAACCAATGGTAGAATTGGAGAAGACAGATTATTTCTATTGAAAATTCGTTTAAAATTAAAAAGTCTTAATTATGGTGCAAAATAGGTGTCGTTAATTTTGCTTGCGTCCAAATGACGGTAACTGCAATTATTACCACATGTACAAAGTTACATGTAAATGTATATGTACCGGTATATAGTATTCTAGTGATGTCACGGTGTCTGCATTAACCGTTTAAATATGCTTATCACAGATTGTCTGTGACAGACAATATAATATGTTCGGTACATGTGTATTTATGTACCTGCTTGTGTTCTACAAATTTACAATATTTACATAAGTGTCCAGGTGTTCGGTTCTGCGCTGAATTCAAGGCTGAAAGCAAACGAGACTTTTGTACTGTAATTGCATAGTGCAGTTTCACTACAGTAGGTACTATTAGTCTCAGAAAGCGAAAGTCATCGCAATTACCAAACAACGTCAACACAAAACTGTGCACCTGAATACATTTGTAAAAAGTACCAAACCGTTTTAAAATCCACGAATGAATATGCCATCATTGTTTATTATACAAAAATATTGTTTTTTGAATTACTGTCAATAACGATTGGTTGTCCAAAGAATTTGTCTTGTTTTAACTCTTGTAAAAAATGCCAATCCGAGTATTGTTTAAACACGAAATTAATGTTTGATCATTTCTTATGAAAAAACAATTTTAAAAATAAATCAACATTGATCTTGGCCGAAATGTTGTTCATAGCTGTTTGGTTATATCAAAGACAAAACGGTAACGGGATCTTACCAGAAGAATGAAAGAAAATAGTTAAAAAAAACAAAAATAATTTCTTGAAGAAGGAATAATATTTCCAGTGGATTTATGTTTTAATGTAGACAATCAATCAATGTCACTTGATTATAATATATTCTGTAACTCCAAGACCGTACTATGAGCCAAAATCGAGACTAGACAGTTTACAGTAAACAAAAATATATACACCATACATTTAATAATAATTATATTTTCAAACACTCAACACAATTACGGCTATCTTCCTAAACAACAATAACTGAGGTGAATTTTAAAACATCACATACCCCAACAAATATCCAATCAAATATCCTACCACCGTTTATTACCCTGAATGCACATAACAATTATTTTAGTGAAAACAAATATCGGTGTACATATCGGTTTGTTAAAAATAAAAAGTAGATGGTCGAGCTTACAAGTGCAGTGTAATTGCCAAAGAAAACATTGGCCTTATACTTTTAATTTTACAGGATTAAAATATAAAATAGATGGTTGTTCTGTGATTTGTGCGAGTCGAGTTAACGCCCCGAGGCTTAAGTCGTTTTGTTGTACTTGAATAATGTAATTGTCAAATATTTTGTATCTCAAATAAATTTGAGTAGGTATGAACATGACATGAAACAAATTACAATATTTTGTAATTTGCGTACGCCGTCTTAACTCTGAACAAAATGGCGCGGGTTTTAGTGATTTTACACACAACCGGCGATTATTCATGAGATTTCCTAAAATATATTCGTTAATTATAATAATAATAACAATAAAATTATAACAAATCGTACAAAATATACATAGTAAGGCTGTACAAATGATTATAATTAAGAGTTCGTGAATACCGCACTTTTACGATGGTTATATATTTATTATTATTGTTTTGTCCGAAAGGTTAAGTACGTTTTAACCGTTTTCCCTTGGCCAAGTGGAACTTTTGCGAGATTCAAGCAAAGGTCTGGGTTTTTTTTTTTTTTTAACGAGATTCTCGCAAAATATAGCAATTATAAAACGTAACGTAAGCGAGGCAAAGCGTTGTTATTTTTACTCGCTCTGTATACCGTTTCGGATATTGTATTAAATTCTCATTTGACTCGGAAAGTAATTACTTGTTGGAAACTGAGATTACAAACGACCAGTACGGAATGCACAGCAGAGTTCCTTATCGTTTTCGTCGAGGGAACACTGCGTAAACGGGTTGCCGTTCAAAAAGCCAAAACTTTATTACAACTTGGAATAATAATAATATGTTATTAGCTGTTTTGTTGCGAGCTGTTATTTTCAGCAAGAAAACGGTTTACGTTTTTCAATTCTTCGCGGCCGAAGCGTTTACAATACATAGTTTATCGACGGAGAAATGAAACTTGGTCAATAATTATACGAGTTAATTACCGCTTGTGTTTTTATCTCTACTCGCTTTGTCAGAG